AGGTGCTGAAAAATTATGGCTAATACCATTAGAATTACAAAACTCATTAAATCCAAGATTTTCAAATTCAGTACCATGATCACTTCTAACACTAGTGATAGAGTAACCTTTTTCATTTTGTATTACTTTTGAAAATGTGATGAAATTTTCTAATGCTTCATCTTTAGTACTTAATAGAACACAAGTATATCTAGAATAGTCATCTACCAAGACAAATGCATATTGTTTTCCACCCAAGCTAGTATCCTAGTAGCCCAAAAAGATCTATATGTATCAATTGTAATATTCTACTAGTTGACACATCATTAATGGATTTAAAGAAACTCGCTTTTGTTTTTTCCTTTACCACAAGCATCACATTTTTATCATTATCAAATTTTAGTTTAGGCAGCCCTCGAACCATTCTCCTTGAACTAACCGTTGCAAAACACTCATGCTAGCATGTCCTAGTCTCCTATGCCATAACCAACTATCATGCTCATCCTTTGCAATTAGGCATAAATTAGTCATTTCTATAGAGTCTAAATGCACCATGTATATGTTTCCTATTCTATGAACAACAAGTATAATCCTATTAGATGCAATGTCAATAACTTTACAACCATTAGTTTCAAATACATTGAATCCCTTATCACATAATTGACTAATACTCAAGAGATTATGCTTTAATCCATTCACATATAACACATTTTTAATTTGTATGGAAGAGGTATTACCTATTGTACTATACCTTCAATGTGACCTTTTGAATCATCACCAAAGTCACTTCTCCTCCATTTTTGGCGTTAAGCTCTATGAACCAGTTTTTGTCCCCGGTCATGTGTCTCGAGCATCCACTATCAAGGTACCATAAATTTAGATTTGTTTCACGTGCCTTGTAGCAATGCTCCTTTTCCTACAAACATAGATTAATTTTTTATTTTTGGTACCCAATTATTTTGGTCCATATTCATTAGTTTCCAAAATCCTAGTCCCCTTAGGTATCATTTGTGTAGGATATCATTATCTTTAGTAGTAATGAGCTCTTTAGGAACCCATATACTTCTAACGATTTTTTCATTAGAGGTTCTTTGGGGACCTCTATGATTGTAGTTTTTAAAATTTTTTCTAACAAAGTTGGATTTTGAATTTTCTCTATTTTCAAAACGTTTTGTTCCAACTTTATCAAAAGAAGCTTTAATATCATCAATTTTCTTTTGATGATCATCATTGACCTTTGAAAGTAAATTTTGCAAATCCAAAATTTTCTTTTCAAACTCTTCTAGTTTGATTTGCAAATCTTTGATTTTACTTTCAAGATCGTTGTTGGTTTTGGATATGAGTTTATTTTCATTTTTCAATTTTGAAATATCATTTTTATATTTTAAAAACAATTTCTCATAAACCGAAGCCAACCCATTATATTCCTCTAATAACTCATCATAGGATAAATCATCAAAATCAGATGAGATAGAGGTTACCTTAGAATCTTCCCCGAATGCCATCAAGCACAAGTTTGCTACTTCTTGTTCCTCTTCATCAGAACATTCTTCATCGCTCCATGTAGCCACATGAGCCTTGTGCTTATTCTTTGATTGACCCTTTCTCTTCAATTGTGGTCAATCATATTTGACATGCCCTGGCTTTTTGCATTCATAGCAAATGATTGGGTCCTTCTCTTTTGGTTCATTTTTGAGGCCTTCATTTCGTTTGAATTTTCTTCCTCGGTAAGGTCTCATCATTTTTCTGAACCGTTTGGCAAACAATGCCATTTCCTCGTCATCGTCATCTTCATCTGAATCACTCTCATATTTTGTGGATTTGATTGCCATGATTTTGGAAGGGAGTAAACTAACTACCTCATAAGCTTTTCATTTGAAATGAACTCTCCATATGATTTGAGACCATTGACAATCGTTGAGAATCTATCCGTCATAGCTTTGATATCTTCATTTGGTTTCATCCTGAAATTTTCATAGCTATGCGTTAGAATACTAATTTTAGATTTCTTTACCTCATCGGTACCTTCATGAGTGACTTGAAGTTTGTCCCATATTTCTTTGGTTGTTGTACAAGATGAAACTCTTCTGTATTTATTTGGTACAAGAGCACAAAATATGATATGGATGGCTTTGGAGTTGAGCTGGAACATTTTTGTCTCTCCTTCACTCCACAATCTTGGATGAGTGAGAGGCTTGATGTATCCTTCTTTTACGACATTCCATGCTCCCATGTCACTTGCTTGAATGAAGTACATCATCCTATTTTTCCAATAGGAATAGTTAGCCCCATTTAAGAAAAGAGACTTGTTGACGGGCATCGAATCGAGACCGGAGTAGAAGTTTGAAGTAGAGGCCATTGATGACTTTGATTATCGATGTAACTCTTCCCGAATCGACTCAAGAGGCGATTAAACCTTAAAATGAGTTAGGCTCTGATACCAATTTTTGAGTTAATCGATTGACAGAATCGGCCAAGAGGGGGTGAATTGGCAATTAAAATTTTGTGGAAGCTTTTGCAGAAAATTGAAAGTAATTGCACAGCGATTTAGAGTGGTTCGACTTTATCAACCAAAGTCTACGTCCACTACCTTAGCTATCCACACTAAGGATTTTCCAACAAATTCACTAATTTGTTCTTTCTTTTGAGGCCAAAGAGATAACCTTACAACTCCCTCAAGAATATACCCCAATTCTTGAGAACACTCTTTTCTCAAAGAGAAGATTACAAATTTGCAAACTCACAAGAAAAACCTCACAAGGCAAATTTGTTTGCACAATTCTAGAACAAAGAAAGAACACTCAAGAAATAAATACAATTGAGCACAATAAGTGTTCTTGAAAGCAAAATGAATATTGAATGAAAAATAGGCTTGAAATGCTCAAACTTGAGGTTTGATGTTTTCTCGTTGATTCTCTCTTGATTCTAGTTGCTTGATGTTTCTTGTTGTTGATCAGTGGCTTCTAAGCTTGTTTAAATACATCTTGAATCACTTTTGAACGTTGGGGATGATTAGTGGAGTCAATAGAGTCGTTTAAGTGTGAAAACAATTAATTAAAGCAGTTGGGAGCGTTAGTGCATCGATGCATACCCATGGTGTATCGGTGCATCATTGTAAAATTCAAATATTTTGACCGTTGGACCCTTAGTGCATCGGTGCACTAAGAGTGCATCGATGCATCAAGTGCATTCGATGTTTCAAAATAGCCAGAGTGCATCGATGCATGACTGGTGCATCGATGCATCAAATGCATTCGATGTTTTCATAACATCCTCAGTGCATCGGTGCATGGTATGTGCATCGATGCATGAAATGCATTCGATGTTCAATTTAATTCATGGTGCATTGATGCATGGATTGGTGCATCGGTGCATCACTCTGAAAAATTGATTTTAGGCTTGATTTTGGTTCAAAATACTTTGTGAAAATTGTTTCAAAAATATATATTAAGTATAAAACACAATTTTACACATTTAGTAAGGTTTGAAATTGATCTTAAAAGACTTGGAGTAATAATTTTATATTCGAGTAATTAAATCGAATATACTTTTCAAAAATTATTTGTAAAATCTTAAAATTCATTTAACTTAATTTGTTATATCGAAACATCAAAATGTTTTCAACATATACAAATATAACATGTCAATTAACCCCTATAATTAGTGTATCACTCAACCATTACTATTAGCATAACTTAAATTAACTTAAAATTTTTCAAATTAATAGATAATTCAACTTATTAAGTTGTGTAAATGGTAAAAGAAAATATTGTTCTCCTTAGAGCACCTAGATTTAAGTAATTGCGTTTGCATGGTGTATATACATTGTCAATAAATTAAGAATCATAAATTCTAAATAGACATTATCTTTTAATCACCTCATATTATTCAAAAAATAAATAAATAATCCAATATTTCAACAACAATATTTGATCAATTGTTATGTTGTGCGACTCAAAAATTTTAGACTAATTTATTTCGAGTTTTAACCTAAAATGTTATCATATATACTCTATAAAATTACGTAATTTGTAATAGTTTTGGTTACATTCGAGAATATTATATTGCAACGGATTTTAACCTAAAATATTTTATATTGTCTATTCTAACAAATTACACAATTAATAATATGATCGATTTTAACCTAAAATATTATCCAAATTATTTTAAAGGATCACGCACACAAATTTTTTTTGGGTAAATTACGCGTTTAATACCTAAACTATTAATTTTGATCTGTTTTACATAAACTTTCATTTTTTTTATCAAAATAATAGCCAACGTTTAGTTTTGTTTCATTTTAATACACTGTCGTTAAAAACTTAACAGACGGACTCGCCAGTCGCAACGTCTACAGTATTTGGTTGTCGCATTCATCAGTCGATGAAGCCCAAACTTCTTAACCCACACCTTTTTGGCTCCCTAAATGTGATTCGAACATCTGTTTCACCAGGAAACACCTCAATATCTCTCAAATCGACGATGAAATCTTCGATTTCTTCATACTCCAATCTTCATGATCCTTCATCCGATGGGCCTGAAACTGGATTATGTTGGCCAACTCGTTGTTCTCTCGTAGTCCACCATTCAGATTGGTCGTCCGTCTACCAGATTTATGCTACGTTAGCCCGTCCGTTAAGTTTTTAACAACGAGATACTAAAATGAAACAAAAACTAAATGTTAGATATTATTTTAAAAAATAAAAATTTAAGTACTAAAACATATCAAAACTAATAATTTAGATACTAAACATGTAATTTATCGTAATTATTTTATTATAATATATTACAACATTGTTTTTAACCTTATATTATCGTATTATTTCAGACTCCCCGTATTTGATAGCCAATACTAAATCCATAACGGAGACGCAGAAACACGTGCATTTCAAGGCCTGTTCTGATTAGATAGAATTAGTTAAAAAAAAACAGCTACCCCACCCCCACTCCCACTCCCACTCCCACTCCCACACATAACCATAGCCATACGAGATTTAAATCATACAAAGCTTTCACTAATCAATTTCTTCTTTTTAACCCCCCAACCAACTTGCAGCTACAACCGCCTTTTCTCTTTCCCACCCACTATCCTAATTTCGATTACCCAATAATTTATTTCCACATTCCTTCCTATCTATTTCAGCTAGCTCTTGCTTGTTTTTCCTTTTCGGATTCTTCTTGTAATCGTCGGCCGTCTTGAGGGACGCTGGTGACAGGTGTTCTTTGATGGTTTCGCTGCCATGGTCACTGTTCATACTTTCATCACTACTTGGGTCACTGACCTTCTCAATTACATGTGGTAAGCTTGTTTTTTAATATATATTTTTTTCGCTTTTCCCTTTTTCCCCTCAATGATCTTCTTTTTGGATAATATTTTGGATGTGTTTTTGGGTTTTCTTTCTAAATACTATCTTTTTACTTATTTTGTAGTTTCATGTAATACTAAAGGAGCGTTTAAGTTAGAGTAGAGCTTACTTGATTTATTTATTTATTTATATTATTGGACTAAGAATACGCTGATTGTTTGATAGAATATGAGTAAAAAAAAGGTCTTTATTAGGAGTTAGGACCAAACCCAGATTATAGTTGTTATTAGAAATCAGATAACAATGACATAGCTGTTTATGCACACAATATGTTGCAACCGTAAACTGTTTGATGGAATAAAACAAATTCCTTAGCTAATAGACATGTGGTGTGAGGCGGAGAACAATGGGCTTTTGTGAAACTTAACAAGCTTGTTTAGTTTTCTTGGTTCTAATGGAACTTTATTACCATGGGAAGATGGTAATACATGAGTTCTTTTTTTTTTCTTTTTTCTTTTAGGAAATGTAGAAAATAGAAAGAACAAAAAAAAACTCTACAGGGTTGAGTTACTTCGTTACTGAATCTAATGCTAGCTCTAGTTGGTCAGTCTGCAAATTGAATCGTTGAAAGAGTCAAATATCTTTGTCCAAATGAACCTCCTATACTAGGGAAAATCCATGTGTTATGAAGTAGGTTCTTGCTAGATGTTGTACATCAACGTGTATGGTTTTAACCTGGTTTTCAACAGAGCAGTGGTTGTTTTGGATGCTGCACTAAACCCACACCGATTATTGCTGTGGATGAACCATCAAAAGGGTTGAGAATTCAAGGCCGTGTGGTTAGGAAGCCTAACATTTCTGATGATTTTTGGAGCAGCACTACGTATGAATTCGAAAACACTGCTCTCCAATCAAAGGAGCTTGTCGTCGATCAGTGCATCAAACCAAACTCTAAGTCAATACAGTAGCAGCGGCGGCATGATCAACTCATCTGATTTTGTAAATCAGGGCAAGTTTTGATTATTATTATTTTTAAGTCTATAGGATATATGAGCCAAGGATTGATCGTTGAAATTTGATTCATGATGTTATTGCCAGCTTTGAGATTCTCAAAATTAAAATGTGTCATTATCCTTTTGTTCATTGCAGGTCTTATCATCTGGAATCAGTCTAGACTCCAATGGATTGGAAGTCGTAGGCCTAGGAATCATCCTCAACGAATTCGAGAGCCTGGATTAAGGTGTGTCACTCATCTTCTTGAGATTCTGAGTTTCTAGTTGAAAATAGTCATCCTGGAAATTTGCGGAGCAAAGTGTTGTCCCGCTGTTTAAGTTGATGTCAGTTGATTACACAGTTTTCCTTTACTAACAAAAAATATTTTTCATCAATTTAGTGACAATCAGTTACTAAAAAATGCTGTTGAAATGAAAATCAAATCTTACTACTTATACTGCTCTTTGATTGCCATTGAATGCTGACCGCTGGTTGAAAACAAAAGTACATTGAATCTAGGAGAAATTTGCAGATTGTGTCCACTGGACAAATAGAGAGGATCAAGTTTTACTTCTTAGAAGTACCAAAAGCAAGCATGACATTTAATTATCGCATGAAGTCTGAAACTATGGGAACCCCGAGAGAAGCTAGCCGACATATATAGGATATGATAGCTTCTTTTCGAATACACTACCCCATTTTCATTCCACATTTTACTTTAATAAACAAAATAGCTGCATGGTGAACAGTAAAGAATGTTATGATTTATGAACAAATGGGGTGAAGACTGAAGAGTAAACGTTATGAGCTATGAAGAAAACTTAATGGGGCTGGAGTAAGGCTGGATTGAACATGAAAAAGTAATGTTTTGTATTCATCGTACTTATCTTAGTGTTGTTATGTTACAGTTTGAATGCTTATGAAAGTTTACTTGGGACCGGGAATCCATTCCCTCGGCCAATTCTTCTTTCCGTAAGTCCACTCTACATGTTGCTGGCTTGTAAGTAAGCTTTTCCTAGCCGGCATTGATTTCGCTGCCTTCTAACAATGACTTAATTTTGCAGGAAATGATTGGTTTTTTGGTACAAGTATGGGAGCAGTAGGGATTGTATGACTGAAGTTAGCATGAGAGAAGGAAAAACGATTTTAGTTTTTTTACTTATTAGAACTGTCCAACTTTGTAATTTTGAACATTTAGGGAAGATGTACATAGCTGTGGGGAAAGGAATAAACAAAATGGTAGTTTCTGTTTCATTTGTATAATTTCACAGTCCATAATTACATTTTAAAGTAAACACAGACGGGGTGCGGAATGAATTTTCATTCATTGCTTATTGGTTTTATAGTTTACATTGTATTTATGTAGATGCACTCTGAGCACAACATCCAGCTGACAAAGCCTCAGATGTTGACGACCCATCTTCTTATAATAAAGGGCAAACTACACTAGATACCACTGAACTTTAGACACTGTATCATTTATACCACTAAACCTTCAATTTTACCAATTATAGCACTAAATTTAGATTTTTGTTTCAACTATAAAGATGTCGTTTTGGTGAGGTGTCTACGTCTACAACCGTCAACCACGTCTGCAGTCATCAGCAATGTCATCGTGCCGTTAACGATTTAACGGTTCAGCGGTATTTTTAAAACAAAAATCAAAGTTCAGTGTTATAATTGACAAAATTGAAAGTACAATGGTATAAACGATACAATGCCTAAAGTTTGGTGATATCTGATGTGATTTACCCTATAATAAACTATTGCCTTGGGCACATACAGCTCCACCTAATGAATCTTTATCATAAACAAAGGCCAATAGAATATATATTTTCACACTGATCTGATAATTTTCTGATATCACGAATGCATGCAATGAAATCATCAAGTGAATCAACTTAGGATCTCTTTCACATGAAGCATCCTTTCTCGAATCATTGCTTAATTGTCTTATTATACAATGCTATATGTGATTTCTCACCCTTTTTTTTATTAATTAATTAATTAATGGTATATAATTTCATATAATGCCAACAAATCAAATAAATATATGTATTTTTTAGAAAAATAAAATAAAATAAATTTTATTATTAATAATATACCAAAGGCACATAATATTTTATTTTTATTAATCCTATTGATTTTTCCTTTTGCCTGTTTACTAATAATCATGATACAGATACGTGGTTTAGTAGTCCAAATGAATTTTGAATTCATCTGAAAATAATTGAAACTTTTTAACCTAAAAAAATCCTAATCTTGACAACCAAAAGTAGCAACTTGAATCCATACATTCTCCCCCACTTGGCGACTAACTCAACTCTCTCTCTCTCTTTTGTCCATTAAAATAAACAAAAAGATTGGATCTTGAACCTTGGGCTAAATTCCTAGTACCAAACCAAGACATGTCGTTTCTTCGTTTCCTTCAAATTGTCAATATTTCTCTCTCAAATGCCATTTTCTTCCATTAAACACTCGTTTCCGCTAAAATAATATAACTCAAATTGATATATATTAAAAAAAGGTTTATAAATTATATATATCTATCACTTGAATAATACGAAAAGATGTGGATTAATATTTCCTATATAAAAAGAGCATCTGGGGTTTGCATTTGCTCAAGGCAGACATAAAATCTGGTTGGAATTAATTGGCGACCTCCATGATTGATCCACTGGAAAGGGAAGAAAATAAAAACATATGGTTGAGCTGATCCGTTAGGGGATGAAATGGTTTGAATGATTGGGTCTTCTGACATTCGGATATCACACAAGCATTAGAGATAAGCCAGGCTATACTGCAACTTGCCATGCTATCTTTCTAAAACGACATGATGGACCATCAAGTGGAAATTGTAATGTGATGTTAGTGCAATGATTCCTCTTCCTTTCTCTATAGAATGGTTGTTCAAGGTGATCATATTATATTACATTTTAACGTTGAGGTATCTTTTATACAAATATATCCAACATGAATATTTTTTTAAATAGAATAATTGACCGGTGTAAAGATTGCAGACATTTCCTATCACGCATTCAAAGGAAATGCGAATGGTTTTAACAATTTTTATATAAATTGGGCTTCTTTTTCCTGTTATTATTATATAGAATTCTCATGATTCTATCTGAATCACATTTTCATTTTTTTTTTCCATATTAACTCTCAGCCCACAAACAAGGTATGTCAGCAATATTTAAACCATATGCCTACAACTTTTATTCAATGCATAATTTCATTACTTCAAGGCAACGAAATAAATGGGAAAAGGAGAGAAAAGGCAACGAAATACACCAGAAAATCCAATGTATGTATCTTTCTGTACATCAAGTTGATTTGTCAAATGTATGCATCTTTCTGTATATATATATAAACTACGGGTGAAAAGGGCCAAATGTGAACAACCCCATGCCTACGGATATCATCATCGTAATAGTGTTTTTTCTTCTTCTAAATTAATATCCATTTGTGATTGTGATATTGAGCTATTAAAATCTGATAAGCGATTAAATCCAAAGACTTCTTACAGATGTTGAATAATGCCTCTTATAGATACTGCTGTATAAAGTGTTAACTAATTTTAAATATAGTTACACATTCTATTAGTTTGTTATGTTTGTTAGATATTAGTTATTGAGTTAGTTATAGGAAATTGTTTATATAAAGGACCTATTTGTTGTAATTGAATGTATGAGGAATAAAATATAATTCTGCCCAATTTTCAGTTTCAACATGGTATCAGTTTAGCCCGGGCTTTTCTTGGGTTGTCTTCACTCTTCCCGTGTCTTCCTTCAATCCATAATCCTCTCTTCTCGATTAAGTCTTGCTTTGTGTGATTCTCTTCGACGAGATGGCTAACCATGACACCGTTGCTACCACCGCCGTGCTCGACTTTAATCACCCTCTATTTTTGCATCCATCTGATACGCCGGGCGGCGTTCTGGTTTCACATCGCCTGGTTGGCATTGAAAATTACAACATCTGGAGCCAGTCTATGAGAATCACGTTGCTGGCTAAGAACAAGTTAGGTCTTGTTGATGGTACTTGCTGCAAAGAAGATTACGATGAAATTTTGCACTCTCAATGGGAACGCTGCAATGCGTTTGTTTCGTCCTGGATTCTCAACACCGTGAGCAGTGATCTATCAGCTGGAATCATCTTTGCTTCAAGCGTCGCTCATGTCTGGAGTGATTGAAGGAGCGATTCGACAAGGTTGATGGATCCAGAATTTATTTTCTCCATCGTGAAATAGTTACTCTACATCAAGGTGATTCAACAGTTTCCACTTACTTTACCAAATTAAAATTGTTGTGGGATGAATTTCATGCCCTAGTTCCTCTTTTAACTTGTAATTACGAGGCATCTCAGCAAAATTCTAAACATATTGCACAGCAGAAGCTGTTGCAATTTCTTATGGGACTTAATGAAACTTACTCGGTTGTTCGTAGTCAACTTTTACTTATGCAACCTCTACCTACCGTGAATCAAGCATACTCAATGATTGTGCAAGAACAAGCACAATGAGTTCAGTTATCTGGTGTTTCGGGTGCTGCTGCCATGTACTCTAATGCGTATGGGAATTCTGATCGAAAGCGGTTCACTGGCGTTTGTGATTACTGCAAACTAAAAGGCCATAAGCGAGACAACTGTTATCGTCTAATCGGGTTTCCTCCAGACTTCAAATTCACCCAAAAAAAAAGAAATTCTCAGGCAGCTCTTGTCTCTAGTCCCTCACTGGATGATTCCGATCATGAGTCCCGTTCTGGTGAATCACGCATGGCTAATCCTGCTCCTGCTCCAATTTTCACAACAACTCAATATCATCAAATTCTTGAGCTCTTGAATAAAACTCCTTCTGTTGATACAGCAGTTAACCTGGCAGGTATTGCTTCCATGTGCTCATTTGCTTCTTCTAATTCCTTTGTTGGATACTTGATACATGGGCTACTGACCATATGGTGTCTGAAATCCATTGTTTGCAATCTCTAATTTCATGTGAGCCTAGTTTTGTCCATATGCCTACTGGTAAAACTGTTCCAAACACCCATACTGGTAGTTTTCATTTTAACTCGGTTGATGTTCTCCCAAATGTCCTGTATGTTCCTCATTTTAATCATAACATGTTGTCAGTGTCAAAAATCACTAAAGACTTCAACTGCAGTATTTTTTTATCCTTATTTCTGCATTTTGCAGGATCTTTTCACTGGGAAGATGAGATGGTTTGGTAGGGAAGCTCGTGGTCTCTATTTGTTCAACTCTCAAGACCTTGTTTCTGGTTTGTCATTTACAAATGTTATTTCTAATTTTTCATCATCTAAATGCAAAGTTGGTTCTGGTTGTATGTATGTTTCATCTGATAATAATACAATGCTTTGGTATACACGTTTAGGGCATGCCATTTCTGTTAAAATGCATAAAACTCTTTTTTTATGTTTTGTTCCTTTAAATGAGAATTTTGTTAAGCAATATTATGTCTGCCCTCTTGCAAAACAATTTAGGTTACCCTTTCCTATTAGTTCATCTAGGTCACCTAAACCTTTTGATCTAATTCACATTGACTTATGGGTCCCTATAGGATTTCAACACATAGTGGTCATAGGTCTTTTTTTACTATTGTATATGATCACACTAGGTTGTCTTGGGTATACTTGTTGAGACTTAAGAGTGATGCAATTCTTTTTCTTAGGCAATTCTTTCTCTTGTTCAAACTCATCATTCTGCTTTAGTTAAGTATATTCGTAGTGATAATGGTGGTGAATTCTTTAGTGAAAATTGTTCTTAACTATTTTCATCCCTTGGTATTGTTCATCAAAGCTCTTGTGTTCACACACCCCAATAAAATGGGGTTGCTGAACAAAAACACAAATATCTTTTAGAGGTAACCCGTGCTCTTAGATTCCATTCTCATGTTCCTATAAAATTTTGGGGTGAGTGTGTCTTAACAGCCTGTTATATCATAACACGCTCTCTATTTCTGTTCTAAATTGGAAAAGTCTATTTGAAGCTTTCTATAAGAAATCACCTAATCTTTCTCATATGAAAGTATTTGGTTGTCTTTGCTATGCAACCAAATTTAACTATAAAGATAAATTTTCTCCAAAGGCCTTACCTTCTGTTTTTATGGGTTATTCATCAACTCAAAAGGGCTATCTTCTTTTTGATCTTCATACAAAATCTTTTTTTGTTAATCGTGATGTAGTCTTTCATGAGACTATCTTTCCTTTTTCATTTCCATTAACTAATACTTCTCTTTTTTTCCTGTTCAGCCTTTCATTGTGATTCTGATTTTCTTACTCTCGAAATTTATGTATCATCTAATCCTGTTCATTCTACTTCACATTCTGTACCTTCTTATTCTCCCTCTTCTTCTTATTCTTATTCTTCTTCTGCATCACCTCAAGTTTCAACTAGTTTACCAATTCCATCTTCAAGTCCATATCCTAGTTCACCTCATCTACCTCAAAATCAGTGTTTACCTAATAGAAAGTCTACTAGGACTATCAAACGTCCTAACTGGCTACACGACTATGTTCAATCCTACCAATCTTCATCTCTTCCAAGTAAGTATCATATTTCCAATTTCATTTGTTATTCTCACTTACCTTATAAAACTCAAAGCTTCTTATCTTCTACTTCTCATTTAAGTGAACCAAAAACTTATACTGAGGCCATAACCAACCCTTTGTGGATCCAAGCAATGAAGGAAGAGATAGCTGCTTTGGACTCAAACAACACTTGGTCTATAGTTACTCTACCTTCAGGGAAAGTTCCAATAGGTTGTAAGTGGGTATACAGAATCAAGTACAAGGCTAATGGAGATGTTGAGCATTTCAAAGCTCGCCTTGTTGCTAAAGGATTCAATCAACGAGAAGGAGTTGACTTTGTGGATACATTCTCTCAAGTTGCTAAACTAGTCACTGTTCGAACTGTTCTTGCTGTTGCCTCCATATTTTCTTGGCCTCTATATCAAATGGATGTGTACAATGCATTTCTACAAGGTGACTTAGTTGAGGAAGTCTATATGGTGCTTCCTGATGGTTTTTGCAGCCAGGGGGAGTCTAAGGTTTGTAGGATGCATAAATCACTTTATGGACTGAAGCAAGCTTCCAGACAATAGAATTTGAAGCTATCAAAACATTAGTTACAGCTGATTACATGCAGAGCAAATATGATTATTCGATGTTCACTAAACAACAAGGGAATAACATAGTTGTTTTGTTAGTATATGTTGATGATCTTTTAATCACTGGGAGTAATGAGAAACTGATAGCAGAACTGAAGCACATTTTGAATAAGAATTTCAAAATGAAAGACCTTGGAGAGTTGAAATACTTTCTAGGATTAGAGGTTCTAAGATCAAAGGAAGGAATTGTGCTAAATAAAAAAAGTATGCTCTAGAGTTAATTGAAGAAACTAGAGCAGGGGGAGCTAAACCAGCTTTGACACCTCTTGAGCAGAACAAGAAGTTTACTACAGCTGAGTATGATGAAGCAGTTTGTAGCAATGAAGAACTGTTGCAAGACAAATCTATTTTTCAAAGACTTATAGGTAGACTAATATATCTGACTCACACAAGGCCAGTTATTGTCTATGTTTCATTTCCTCAGTCAGTTTATGCATAAACCAAAACAATCACATCTTGAAGCTGCATTAAGAGTGGTAAAATACATCAAGAAAAATCCAGGACAGGGGATTTTATTAAGTCTTACGAGTGAGTGCAGATTGATTGCATGTTGTGACTCTGACTGGGCTGCTTGCCCTATGACTAGAAGGTCTATAACTGGTTTCTGCATCAAGCTTGGAATATCTCTAATTTCTTGAAAGTCCAAGAAGCAAAACACTGTTTCGCGCTCCTCTGTAGAAGCAGAATATAGAAGCATGGCAGGGACGACAATAGAAATAGTATGGCTGAAAGGTTTGTTGGCAGAATTAGGCTTGAAAAATATAGCACCAGCTAAGTTAATGCGTGATAGTAAAGCGACCTTGCAATAACAACTAATCCAGTTTTCCATGAGAGAACTAAACACATTGAGATAGACTATCACTTTGTCAAAGAGAATATTCAAGAAGGCTTGATACAAACAGAACACATCAAGACAGGGGAGCAGCAAGAAGATTTGATGACTAAAGCTTTGGGTGTGCATCAACATGAATATCTAGTTTCCAAGTTGGGGTTTAAAGACCTCTTTACAACCACCAACTTGAGGGGGAGTGTAGAAAGTGTTAACTGATTTTAAATATAGTTACACATTCTGTTAGTTTGTTATGTTTGTTAGATATTAGTTATTGAGTTAGTTACAAGACATTGTTTATATCAAGGACCTATTTGTTGTAATTGAATGTATGAGGAATAAAATATAATTCTGCCCAATTTTAAGTTTCAACAACTGCTTTAACAGGCTTTTGAAACTATGATCTGAGGTCATTCCAATTCTTAATTTAGGAGTTTCTTCTTCTAAAAGCATATGGGAAGAGTTACGTATCAAACATGGAAAAATTTTCTGGCACAAGATTGTTTGGTATCCCCTTCATATTCCCAAATTCAGTATCAGTACTTGGCTTGCAGTCTTGGATCGTCTTCCTACTAGAGAAAGACTTACTCGTATGGGAATTACAACCGTTGGCTCTTGCATTTTATGCAATGATGCCCTTGAAACAAGAAATCATTTGTTTGCTGATTGTGTTATGGTTGTTGCTCTTTGGAATAGAATTCTAAATCTTTCTCTTTTGGATAAGCCTCATATGTCTTGGGATTCTTTTCTTGCTTGGGCATCTTCGACTTGGAAAGGAAAATCTCCTTACAACCATATTGAAGATTGCCTGATGCTCCTTCATTTACTATGTTTGGGAAGAAAGAAATATACGTTTATTCCAAGGACGTGTTAGAACAATTGATGATTTGATTTATTCAATCAAAGAGATTGTTAGTGCTCAACTTAGGAATAGAGTTACTAATAGTCTTGATTTTGTTAATATGCAACTTATGACTAATTGGGGCATAGGATAATCATTCTTTTGTTGTAATTAGTTTGATTTGATCCTTGTTTGGATTCTCTGTATTGTGACCTTCTTTGGATAATAAAAATTTACTTATCCAAAAAAAAATTATACTCATATGGACCACAAATTCTATTGAAGAAAAAAACCATGCAGCATACATTTAAATTAGCGACGATTCCTGACGAAAGGACCGCTCAAAGATTTGCACGTCGCCAATAGGTTAGGCTTTTGGGATTTTATTTGCAGTAATTTTGTTCTACTTGAGATATATGCATACGTGTCTTTCACTAAGAATTTTTTATATAAAAAAATTAAAAGCGAAACCAATATATATGTAAGAAATCGCATTTTCTAAACCTTCAATTCAATAATTCTAACCCATTTCTTCACTCCATTAAAAAAATCAATTGGTCAAATCTCATCTTTGTTTGCGGTCATTTATTGGACCTGCCGCATAAGATAGATGCATAAAATATGAGCCCTCCCCATTCTTTAAAAGAAAGAGCTAATCAAATTCATTGTACATAATTCTCCATTTGTCTTTAACGCAACCCATTTGCTTATTTAGGCCCCATTTTCCTTGTTTTGAGCTTTTATTTATTTTACCGAACCAAAGCAATGAAAGGTATCAAGGTTCAACAACTTTATATCATAATTATATTTAAAATTTATCATTTTTGTTATATAACATCTTAATACATTTCTACTATATATATATATATATATTAAATATTTTATAAAAATAAGTACATGAAATTAAAATTATAAGAAAATTGTTTTTTTAAGAGACATGGATTTCATTATGGTTAGTAGTCGATGAACGAAAACCATCGCCAAATTAAATAAAGAAAATGCAAACATTCATCTTAATGTGCGCCGTCACTCTCCTTTTGAATTTGAGTTTTATTGTCCAACTTGTTCTTTAACCATCAAACTAAGAAAAGAAAACCATCGTCTTTTCCCCCTAAACAAAATAAATATTTAACTAGTAAAACAAGTTAATGATCTTCTCTACTTAAAATCAATCTTGATTAGATATCAATTAAATTTAAGACAGAGAAAGTGAAATCAGACCTGACATGAACCACGTAATATTTAATATTAATTAATAAAATATAAAATAATTTAGCATGCAAAATCCCAAAACGATTACATAATCACTGTATGAATTTCAAAGGCAAGTAGCCGGAACCGGTAGTTTGGTTGGACTAAAGAAAGAGAGAGAGAAAACAGGTTCCAAGGAAAGATACATTGCATGTGCAGTGCACAAGTTGTCAGATAATGTATCTGCAGCAAAAAACATGAATTTTAAATTACTAATCAAATGGAAAATTCTCAACTCCGCATTTTCTTTCTCTTTTCCCCAACCAAATAAATTGAACTCTCGTCTCCTGTTTCAGCGCCCACCACATCTCTCTCTTCTTCTTTCTTACGTATCTTCTTTTTCCCCTACTTAGTGAGTATTCTTACTTCTGAACAACATCTGATGCATTCAAGCTTTCAAGAGTTACACCTGCTCTGCGTTTTTCTACTGTTTTTGCTTTTTGGGTGTTGCATTTTCGGGTCTGAGGATTTTCAGAAAGGTTTCTGCTTTGCGATTCAACCATGCCTGCTCTTGTTAATTATGGTGGTAAGCTTTTTTATTTTCTTGTAAATATTGGGATTGAGTTTACAGACATGTTTTTAATTCTTAGATTGACTATATATACTTTGGAACTGTAATAATAATCTTGATGTAGACAACCTTTATTTGGATGTTTTTTATATGCTTGATCTTATTTAGCACTATTTGGTTTTAGCTAGTGTTATTTTTGAACTCGAAAATGAAGGCAAAGGATTTAGGATTCATTAGTTACATGAATATATTGCAAGGCATGGATCATTGAAGATTTGCTTCAAAAGTTGGAAGCTTTTACCAAATAATCTATCTTGATTGTATGTTGTTTGATTGCTCTTGGAAGGGAAAAGAAATACTATTGTTGTAGGAATATGTCTGATTTTCTCATTGTATCCTTTTGAGTAGGTGATGATTATATGTTTACTGGAATTTCAGGTGATGATGATTTCTGTTCTGGAGGGTCCTTTTATAAAAATTCCGCAGACTTGGGTAGATTGTGCTCAATCAGTTCCCAACTGGATGTGTACTGCCCTCCTCGAAAAAGAGCTCGTATCAGTGCCCCATTTATCTTTGGAGAAACAGAGATTGAGCAGAATAAGCAACCATCAATCCATGTTCTTCCTGATGAATGCCTTTTGGAGATCTTTACGCACATTTATGGGGGCAGAGAAAGGAGCTCCTGTGCTTGTGTCTCAAAGCACTGGCTTATGCTTCTGACCAGCATCCATAAGGGCGAATATGAGTCATCAAAGATGGTCAAGGAGAATATTCGGTCAAGTTCTGCAGATGTTGAGATGTTCTCATCTGAGGAGGAGGATGGTTATCTTACAAGGTGCTTGGAAGGGAAGAAAGCAACTGACACGAGGCTTGCTGCAGTTGCCGTTGGAACAAGCGGTCATGGTGGTTTGGGGAAGCTTTCTATTAGGGGAAGCACCTCTTCACGTGGAGTAACTAATTTCGGGCTATCTGCCATATCCCGATGTTGCCCCTCTCTCAAGGTACTTTCTTTGTGGAACGTCCCACGTGTTGGAGATGAAGGTCTGTCTGAAATAGCTAAAGAATGCCACTTGTTGGAGAAGCTAGACCTTTCCCAGTGTCCTTTGGTTTCAAACAAGGGGCTAATTGCCATTGCAGAGAACTGTCCTAATTTGACTTCTTTGAGCATCGAGTCCTGCCCAAAGATTGGTAATGAGGGCCTTCAAGCTATCGGAAAGCTCTGCCCCAAGTTGCAGTCTGTCTCTATCAAGGACTGCCCACTTGTTGGTGATCATGGAGTTTCAAGCCTGTTGTCACCAGCATCTTCCATCCTTTCAAAGGTTAAGCTTCAGGGTTTGAGCATTACGGATTTTTCTCTTGCTGTGATCGGACACTATGGCAAGTCTGTGACAAATCTAATGCTCAGTGGTCTACAAAATGTAAGCGAGAAGGGATTTTGGGTGATGGGTAATGCTCTGGGTCTCCAAAGATTGGTCTCTTTAACTATTACTTCTTGCTCGGGGGTAACTGATGTTAGTCTTGAAGCCATTGGAAAGGGGTGCAAAAACCTGAAGCAGATGTGCCTCAGCAGGTGTTGCTTTGTTTCTGGTGATGGATTGGTGGCTTTTGCCAAGTCTGCAGGTTTTCTTGAGTGCCTGCAATTGGAAGAGTGCAACAGAGTCGCACAATCCGGGATTATCGGTGTCCTCTCAAACTGCGGATTAAAATCTCTTACCCTAGTAAAGTGCATGGGAATTACGGATATATCCTTGGAAGTTCCTTTTTCCTCCCCATGCAATTCCCTTAAATCCTTCTCTATAAGGAACTGCCCGGGCTTTGGAACTGTCAGCCTGGCTATGGTAGGCAAATTCTGCCCTCAGCTTCAACATATAGATCTGAGCGGGCTATGCGGCATCACAGATGCAGGTCTTCTACCTCTTCTGCAGAATTGTGAGTCAGGACTTGTGAAGGTGAATCTGAGTGGCTGCTTAAATTTGACTGACGAGACCCTTGTGTCCTTGACAAGGCTACATGGTGCAACCCTGGAATTGCTCAATCTTGATGGTTGCAGGAGGATTACTGATGCAAGTTTGGTTGCAGTTGCCGACAATTGTCTTTTCCTCAGCGACCTGGATGTGTCAAGGAGTGCAATCACCGATGTCGGTGTTGCTGCCTTGTCTCAAGCAGGGCAACTCAATCTGCAAGTCCTTTCATTTTCAGGTTGTTCCGGGGTATCAAACAAAACCCTGACCTTCCTGCAGAAATTGGGCAAGACCCTGGTGGGGTTGAATCTCCAGCACTGCAATTCAATCAGCACTCAAACCGTTGAGTTGCTTGTGGAGAGCTTGTGGAGATGTGACATCCTTTTCTAATAGAGGGTCGTTAAAGACGGAAGAAATACGAAACTCATATAGTCAGTCAGCTCACAAAGCTAGCAATATTCAGCACAGTTTTTTTGGTTGCTCCATGGCTTGGTGTTTTCCCGGGGACGTGTGGCTGTTTGGCAGTGGCCGATCCATCTCATTTTTTGCAGGCTTTCATGACACTGGAGAGTCTGTTGTATATCATAGCCATGGTTCCTAGAGATCCGTCATCAAGTCATGGTTTTGAGTTTCCACTCATGATCATCATAGCTTTTGGTTGTGTTCTGCTGGAACTGTTACCTACTTGGTGTTTTAGCTTTCTTTCTTTTTTCTTCAGTCCTATTAAATCCGTTGTTCGAATCAGTATTTCTTTTAAGAGTCTTCCAGTGTTTCCTTTTGTAATTTACCTCTTTAGAGAAGTTAAATGTTTGGGTGCCCCAGATTGCTGTGCTTTGGCTCTGCCTCTCTTATCTGCCATAACAACCTTCATTTTCGTTGTTTTTATCTCTCCGTGTCTTCCAAGTGTCCCATGTCTTGTAGGGTAATCCTTGCATAAGAATTCTACAACTGCAACTAATCTGTTGTTTTGATAAAATTAAGAGGTTCATCATACTGATAAAGATCGGAATTTTCTTTAAGCAAGAAACCTGAACTGCCCTCTTAATTTGCTAACCGCTACATAAAAAGGGCATCTTGGAACTGCAAAAGAAATATCCCGATTCTTCTGCAATCTCATAAAACGATTAAAAGTAACAGCACACTGCTTTAAATTCGACCCTTCTACTTTCATTTGATTAACACAATTAGCAGCTCATTAGTTTTTGTTGAAAAATCATTTGACATCTCGTCATATGGCATATTTATTTAAATAAATTAAAAAATAGTTAATTTTATATAAAACCATAGATCGAGAAATCGGAATGCAGTTTTATCAATTTATATTTTGAAAGAAAAAAAATAATCATGCCTATTTTCTTTTTCTTTTTTTTAAATAAAACTCACAAAAACATTAGAATATAAAATTCCTAAAATTTGAAAATTATTAAAAATAATTGAATTCTTTTTATTAAATTATGGATTTTTTATTTTTATTTTCTTCTAAAGTTAAGTTTTTCAAAAAAAATATTTGATTAAAATATTACATGGTACCTTATTGGGACACGTCATCAGATTTTAACAAAAGCCAATGAGGATTATCAGTAACGACGAACTAAAAGTAGAACTAAGATGATAAAAAAATAAAAGAGTTAAAATAAGAATTTTTTACTGAAGTAGTTATTAAATCTACTATATATAAGAGTAAATTACATGTTTAATACCTAAACTATCACTTTTATTTCATTTCAATACCTAATTTTTTTTAAATCAAATCTAACATTTAGTTTATGTTCTAATTTGATACCCACCGTTAAAAGTTTAGCAGCAACGATGATGTGGAATTAAATGTGCAATTTACCCTATATGATTATGCATCATTGTATATCCACCTTCCAGCAGCTGGTCTAACGAAAACAGAAGGAATAGAAAGCTCCGGGCTACGAATCTTAATGAAAAGTTTGTGGAATCCTACTGTTCAGTAGTGCTGAACTCAAATAAAATAAAATAAAAGTAGCGCTGAACTATTTTTTTTTGTTTACTCTTTGGATTGAGCTTTGGTTTCTGGCATTAAGCATTCAGGTGCCTTTCATTCACAGAATGTAAGATTATCTTTGAGAATAACATTATTAGAATGTAACATTATTATGAGAATATTATATTACATTGTTTGGTTTACTTAGCAGAAATATAAGATTACAGTATTTGATTAAAGAATATAAGATTACTTGAATGCGTATTTTACCGAATTATTCTTGTGATATATTATTTTAAAGTTAAACTTCAATATTAATTTATAAATATTTGAATGAAAATTCATAAAAATATTTTAATTGTTATACTATCTCACTTTTGAGAAGAAATTATATTTAATATATAATTAATATATTAAATTTATATTTTTAAATAATGTTCATAAGTATCATATTTATTTATATAAAATATAATATAATATAAAAAATAATAGTATGATAGTAAAATATTATTTTAAATAATTACATTTTTACAATAATACTATTTTTTTCATCCCATAAAATTATAAATAGTAAAATATTAAAAATATATAAAAAAAATTAAATTCTCAAAATTATTAATATTTTAGTAAATCAAACTCTTTGTATATTATTATTATTTTTATAATTTTGAGTAAAGTATAAAAAATAAGAATTTAGAATGTTTATTGTAAAAAAAATTATTAGTTTAAAGGTATTCTTGTCCAAAGTAGGTGAATATAAAATTATCTAAGAATTTAAAGTTAATGACATTCTCACTATTTTAATAAAAAAATATTACTATTGGTAAAAGAGTATTTCATATAATATAAGATTACGTGAATTAAACATAAAAATACAATTTCGAAAAAAAAATATTCTGATTACCATCAAAGTTTTATTTTCGTAATGGTGCTTTCATCACAAAAGATGAATTCCCGATGGATGAAAAATGAAAAGGAACTGTGGTAAAAAAAGTCAACAAGTTAAACAGTATGTGAATTAAGAAACTGAAGTTAATTATTCTCGAGACATGAAAACAGTACGACGATATCAAGCTCACCTCTCTGATCTTAAAAATTGATTTCTCATTCCACCCAAAGCTTACAAAATTTATACTATCAAAATAGTAAAACAAAAAATGCACCAAAAATAATCATTGCATGCACTGTTTAAAACAAAAGAAATACAGTAAAACCATTAATAAAGAGATAATTTATGTTTTATGACACTAGAAGAAGTAGAATGATAAGATTCTCAGATACCAATATCATCACTACATCGGCAAACAAAGATTCAAAACCACACTGCAAAGTTCTATACTGTAAGCTAACAGGGTTTTAAGCTATATATATATATATGCTCAAGGTTGAAAGAATTTATTTCCGCATTTGCATTTCCAGGCCAGTAGATAATAGCTTTCATCACCTTGATACGAAGAGCTTCGAGTATTTCTATGATTAGGAGAAGCAACTAAAGCAGCCATGCAAGGTCTGCAGCTGAGGCACTTGTTAAAACACTTGGGAGGCCTCGAACCCAGAACCATTTTCTCTTGCTTCCAACTGTTGTTATCATTATTACCTGCTACAGATACTGACCCAACTGTGCCAGAAGGGGAAAAAAAAAGGATCACCAATTAACAACAAAACAGCATAGAATCTTACAGTGAGTGTATCTATATATATGATGAGATTTGAGTGGTGTTTGTGTTTTCTTTTACCTGATTTGGAAGGGGAAAACGTGAGGTAAAAGATGAGCATGACATTGAGTACAGCGACCTTTAGCTCCAGTGGGTGGTGTTTAAATGAAGCCATCAGGTCTTGTCTTCGAGGATGGAGCTTGTTTGTTTCTCAAGGAAGGTGTTACTAATTTGATGGCAAAGAGAAGATGATGGGTGGGTTTGCCTCAAGCGTCTCTCCCATCAATTTCACTACAAGAGACAGAAACTAATAAAAGAAAGAAAAATAGAGTGCATCTTTCTTGATCAGAATTGTGTGGGAATGGGAGGTGAGGTGGGTCCCGTAGAATATAACTTTAAAAATTATGCTGAAGTCTCACAATCAAGAAATAGTTACCCTCTGTCATCATGTTCCAGGGTGAATTGACTGAAGTTACATCTTCTTTCATCTCTCTGTAAGATGACTTGACTCACTCTTTGCTCACTTTTCCTTTTTAATCTGTATTTATTTCGAATTACTGAATCAAACCTCTATCTTAATTAAGATATAACGATATGCATGTACAAAAATCTCAATAATGAAGTATCATATACAGTAGTAATTTAGATAGCCGTAAGCAGCATGTTCTGCTTTTGTTTATATATTTTCACTCTCCATGTCTCTGAAATCATGTTTACGTTATCCAAAATTATTGGCCTTAGATAACTTGTAAAACCAAGGGATGTAATGGTAGTAGTTGGAGTAGTAATTAATTTCCACGCAAAGTGGAATGCTCCTTCAGAAAAGTCAGTGGTACTCAACAGGGAAAAAAACAAAAGGTGAAGTAATGACCTAAGCTACATGATGGAGGACCAGATGATCCACTGGTAATCTGTTTGTTACAGAAAGAGGATCTTAATTTTCTCATAATTTTGCTTAGTTTAACACACTATAAATTTACAGTTAGGTAGCTTTTGATAGATGGAAGCAGTAAGTTAACAGGGTGGATGCAATGAATGAAAGGTTTTTAATTATTGGATTATTCTATAAAACTACACCGGATCACAAAGTATACCTTTTACTGTGGTTTTCAGGAAAATTACAGCAAAATCTGAGTGTTGGCACTGCCAAACGCCACATTTACATGTCTTTTTAGGGAACAAAACACTAATAAAAGGAGACACCATACTTCACACCTCTTCCGGACGACAAGAAGTGACTGAATAAAATCAAATTCATTGTCATTATTGTGTCATTCCACTTATTTTATTCAAAAAGTAATTAAAATTTTAAACAGCTATCATACAGACACATGCAACTGATATTAAAAAAATTTATTTATGCATCTATTTGTTCGAACAATAAGAAGAAGAAGATACGTGTCTGTTTGTTGTTTGACAAAACACACGGTTTTAGTCTCTTGTTGTAGTTAAATTAAGGAAGAAACTAGAAAGGAAAACTTTCCATCTTATTATAATTATGATTGTTTTATGCTTTAGATTATTATATGGTAGAATGTTAGAATGGAAAGTGAGAATGGCAGAATAAAAAAAAAAGGTGAGAAGAGGGCACAGATTTCTTCCCCCAAATGCTAAAAGAATTCACAATTTCAGAAGGCTATTTAATGATAGTGGTAAAGAAAAGAAATGCAGACCACATGGGTTGATGCCCTGATTAAAGGGTAGTCTATAAATAGCCCTGCCCTGTTGCCTAATAGTAGCCCTTTGTCCTCACTTCAACTACTACTTGTAGTTCTACTGCTGCTTTCTTTCACAACTGTTGCTGTTTTCTTTAGTCAATGGAGGAAACAACAAATGAAATATAAATCAAGCAGAGAGATTATAAGAAAATAGAAGCTTGAATTTGCAGGCCAAAATGTAAAAACCAAATAGCAGCCTATAGGAATATGCTGTTGGAGGATGTGGGGATTCTTAAACTTATGTTGTTTGATTTGGTGGGAATGGGATAAGTTTGATTGAAGATTGCAGGCAGACTGGGAAGAGTATCCACCAGCAGTAGCAAAACAGTGGTGAAGATTGCTGCTAATCTACTGAACTGCCGAATCACAGTAAAAACAACTGAAATCCAAGGAGTGAAGAAAACAGAAAGTGAGGGCTCCATTTGCAAGCATGGAGGCTGGAAGCTTTAATTTGAATCATTTGTATTATTGCTGTTATGTATCAAATCATATAATTGAAAAAAGTCTTAAGATAATAAGGGTAATGGGGCCTGCAATGCGTAGGTTTGTATGGAAAGGGAAAAGGGAAGGTAGAAGAAGAAAAAGAAGAGACACTCACATGAACCTACTACGTATCAACAAGGTGTAATAAATTATTTTTCAATCCTAGTCCTGCATCTAGTAAGGATTTCATGTGTCCATGTACCTGGAAAACGATACGAACACGCCACACCCAATTTTATATTGCAAAGCAATCATGGCATGGAGAAATTACGGGGATTTTCCTGAAAGTATGAGATTAGAATCAATATGCTTAAGTTCAGTATGGTGCATAAAGTATCAAGCAAGAGAAAAAGATATGTAAAAATCTCATGCAAAGAAGATGAAACTGGGTCAAGGAAAGACAAATAACAAGATGAGCTAACTTTCCTGTGACAAGCCCAAAATGCAGCGTTTGGGCCACCAATTTGTGAGAATTGAAAACACCGCACAAAAATAAGTTAACCCGGACAGTAAGAATTTCCTCAGTACTTTTAAGCAAATCTATCATTCTCTCAGTTCTAATGATCAGCAATCATCATCTTCTGCAATTAAGTTGCATTTAATCTGATAACTACCATTATGGTATTGGTGGCAGTGGCACCCAAAGTAGGCTCTTATTTTAAATTAGTCCCCAAATTTTTAAATATTCCAGCTTTATCCCTAACTATGGCTATCATTCTAAACTAGTCCTCAAAATTTTGATCATTTCAATTTCATCCTCAAACTATGACATTCATTCTAAATCAGTCCTTAAACTTTGAACATTTTAATTTCATCCCTAATCTACGATCATCTTTCTGAATTGGTCCCCAACCTTTTGAGCATTCCAATTTCATCCCTAAATTCTTCAAAATATGTAATTAGTTTCAACCATAGTTTAACCTAAATTTTGTATTTTTTTCAAAAATATAACAATATAACTTGGCCTAATGAAATTGGAATATTCAAAAGGTTGGGGACCAATTTAGAAAGATGGTCATAGCTAAGGGATGAAATTAAAATGTTCAAAGTTTAAGGACTGATTTAGAATGAAGGGCATAGTTTGAGGATGAAATTAAAATATTTAAAAATTTATGAATTAATTTAAAATAAAAATTATAATTTAGAAACATATGATGCAATTAACTCTTATAGTAAAGTTACATCTTTAAGTTTAGACCATGTTTGATGATAACAAAATCAAATTAACGATGATATATGATAAGGGATTATCGACTTCCTTGAAGCCCGCCTCCCTATAATTGACAATATTGCTTAGATTGTATCTTTCTGGGATTGAACTCAATAATATCCATGGTGATTTCTCACATTTTTATTATTTATATTTAAGATAATGAGAGTGATAACTGTAATCCGTAGTAGTATTTATCATCTTTTTAATGATAATGATAATCCTCACTTAATTGCTAACGATTGTGTCTCATTATTTGATCAATTTGGGTCCTTTTTTTAATATTTTTTTTACATGAACATCTTTTTTTTCATTTTCAATCAATTTTATGTCGATAATTATAAATTCATTTCATTTTCAACTTAAGGTTAGATAAGACGAAATTTGCAACATCAATTCACATCCATTCAATAATCACATAAATTCAAAGAAGAAATAATTGAGATAGCAAAAGACGAAATTTGCCCTGTATTTGCAAGTCGGTGAGCGAAAGAGTAAAGACGAAACAGACTTTGGATGGGACCCAAAAATCCCAGAAAGCCGTCCACTAATAAGTATAATGAATGAATAGTGCAACCCAGCGCCATGAGTGACGTGATGGCTTCTGATAGACTTAAAACTCTCCAGTCTCCACCGTTGAGCCCAATCCCTGGGGCTCCACCACCATTTCAACTTCACTTGCTTTGATCTGCATTATCGGTCCCACCTCGGTCAACTCCAGCCGTTGATGCACATCAGTGGCACTCCCCTGATTAAACTGATAAAAACTCGGGCGGTTTTCGTTGTCATGATACCGCGGGAAAAACACATTCCCGTGGGACATGAAACGCTGCTGGTTTTTTTAACGTGTCACGTGGACAGATTCACTCAGGACCGTCGAAACACTTCGTGTCAACAACCTGACGGGTGGTGTACTTGTCCATCCAGCGCTGGTTTGGGGAAAAGCCCACTGGTTTGCTTATGCAAACTCTACGGTCTGTTTGGCATGAACTAATTTTATGATATGTATTGAAACTACTCTGGGTGTGTCCGTAAAATACATAATGGAATTTCTTGTTGTGGTTCTTTCGATCAATTATCTTAATAAAAAATAAGATTAATATTTTAGTAGTGTGAGATGATTATAAAATAATTTGTTTAAAATTATTTTTTATTAATAATATATATGCACCTTACATGTATATTTATTTAAACTCACTTCATTTAAAATAATAATAATCCTTTAACTATTAAAGTCGTTTAATAGATTCAAAATCAAATCTAAATCAACTTACATGTTAACTTAAATCAACTTGGAATATTATTATTTTGAGTTAATTGCATCATATGTCTTCAAACTATGACATCAATCTAAATTAGTCCTCAAATTTGTATTACTCTAATTTCATCCTCATACTATGATACTCATTTTAAATTATTCCTTAAAATTTTGAATGTTCCAATTTTATCCTTAAACTATGACCCTCATTCTAAATTAATCCCCAAACTTTTAAATCTTTCAATTTCATCCCTAAATTCATCCAAAAAATATAATTATTTTTAACCTTAGTTTAACCTAAAATTTATTTTTTTTCAAACATATAATAATATAGCTTGGTCTAACAATTTTATTAACAAGGAACATGACTAGTATATACATATAATTTGGGATGAAATTGAAATGTTGAAAAAGTTTGGGAACTAATTTAGAATGAAGGATATAGTTTGGGGATGAAACTAAAATGTTAAAAACTTTGAGGACAAATTTGGAATGGTAGTCATAAATTAAGGATAAAACTGAAATATTTAAAAATTTAAAGATTAATTTAAAAAAATCATAATTTAAGGATATACGATTCAACTAATCCTATTTTTGTTAATTTGTAGTACACCAAACACCTCTTTAATAGAAAAAAAAGGTTCATGCACATCAATGTGCCAAATCTTTTTTACTAAATTTAACGGACCAGATCATTTCCGTACATAAGCTAAATCTGAATATAAAAATCCTCACCGCCCCAGCTCATGCCTATCGACTTCTTTCATTAGCACGGCAGTTGCAGCAGAGAAGCGAGGTCCCAAAAAATACTATCATCCAGGTCTTTAGCTTAATTATCAAAATTTCCTTTAATTCTATCAACATTTCATTTTGGCACAAAAATGCTCTTAAGGAGTTCATCGATACCGGTATTCAATTCATGGGTCTCACACTCGAAGGATTTATCTCCGGAGCCCGAGTTACTGCACAAGATTTCCATACCCCGGACCATATCGTTTACAGTTTCGTGTTCGAGCTCCATTTCTGCAGGGCCGAGCGACGGTTCGAGTCGTAGGATGATGAGGGCAGTGTCGGAGACTGATTTGAGGGATCTAGTAGTCCCCAAGATAAAAACCGCAAAGACTAATAACGTGTTCTTGAATGGAATATGCGTCGAGGAAGAAGAGGCGGAGATAAAGGAAGCTCGATTTCAACGGTGGAGAACTGATTCGCATGGGTTGGAGGAAGAGATAGGCGGTGGTGGGGGAAAGATCTGTTGCGGCGGCGGCGGCTTTGGTGGTTCCGACAGTGACAATAATGAATGGGGGTCTTGGGATTCGAATAACGTTAATGATGGTACCGATTTGTATTATCGGAAAATGATCGGAGCTAATCCTGGAAATTCACTTCTCCTCGGAAATTACGCAAGATTTTTAAAGGAGGTAAGCTAATTTATAAACCGATTTAATTCTTTATTCACAAAAGAAAGCTCATAAAACGAGTTTTGAATTTCGAGTTTGATCTAAAGTCGCGTAATTCGGGACAGGTACAGGGGGATTACGTGGAAGCTGAGAAATACTGTGCGAGGGCGATCTTGGGAAATACAAATGACGGGAATGTTCTGTCTATGTACGCCGATCTGATCTGGGAAACCCACAAAGATAAGCGGAGAGCTGAAACTTACTTTGAACAAGCCGTTAAAGCCGCCCCCGACGACAGGTAAATACCCCGAAACTAAATTTTAAACAGTGGGGTTTTGTCATTTTTAATAAAGTGTACACCATTCACGAGGAACTTATATATTCTTTGAGATGAATTTGTAGTTTTGTGCTAGCATCATACGCACGATTTCTTTGGGATGCTGATGAAGAAGAAGAATTTGGGGAAAATCCGAGTGAAAGATTAGAGCAGAGCTTTCGCCATGGAGCTCCTTCGATGCCGTCACCATTGGCTGCTGCTTCTTAAGACTCTAGCTATGGCATAGCTTTGTATTTAGCTTTTTTGAGTTGTGTTAATATGCCATTTGTTTCTTTTTGTTTTGTTTTCCTTTTGATCCTTTGTATTTAGCCTTTTATCTACTTCTCTCATCGTTGGAGCCCGGGCATATAGTGTAAATGAGAAAATAAGATAGGGAAATGGGTTTTTCATTGAAATCTCTCTTCTTTCTCTCTAATGGTGTCTGCGTATATAGTGATATTTAAGAGATTATTTATTTATATAAATTCAATTTTTGAATAATCGAGTGACAGAGAAACTTTGCTTGTATTGGCAAAGATTGAAATCTTTAAATTTAAGTGTGTAGTCTTATTGAGATTCACATTATGATTGGAAGGGAATACTAAGTTTTTTAAAAAAAAGGAATACTAAGTTTTTTAAAAAAAAGGAATACTAAGTTAAAAAAAAAAGGAATACTAAGTTAAAAAAAAAAAGATGCATCAATCTCGCTTGGATGCACTACACCAAAATGGGTTTTTAACAGTATTTTAACGGTGTTTTTTTAACAAACGTCAGTAAATATTATTAAATATTGTATTTTAGTGGTGTTTTTATACAAACACTGCTAAAAATTCATATTTTAGTGGTGTTTTTATATAAACGTCGTTAAATATTATATTTTAATGATTTTTTTAACAAATGAGAGTAAATACTCGTACTTTAGTGGTGTTTTTATATAAATGTCGTTAAATATTATATTTTAGTGGTTCGTACAAACGCCGCTAAAGACTCTTATTTTAGTGCTTTTTTTGAATAAACATCGGTAAATACTCGTATTTAGTAATTTTTTTATACAAACACTGCTAAAGACTCGTACTTTAGCAAACTCTCAACCCTAAACTCAACTCTCCGCGGCCTCACGATTTTCTTTAAGATTACTTTTCCCTATCTTCCAACGCTCGAAGCCAGGTGAGATCTAACCTAATAAGATTACTTTTTAGAGATTTAATGACTTTATTTTTGGATAATTGATTAGGAAAATTGATTCTAAATCATTCAAAAAGGTGAAAAAGGAAGAGGTCTCGATACAGCTACAAAAGTCGTTGGTTCCCCAGCTTGAAAATCCCAGACCCTCTAATCTTAGGTTCGACCAGCTGCAACCGTCGGATCATTAGCTGAATCAAGACCGCATATTAGAGTTCGGAAGATTCGTTGCAAGCAAGGCCGTTCTTGATGAAGAATTCTGGGCATACCCATTTTTGATCTTTAATTTTTTTTATCACCTTTTATTTGATCGTAAATGCCCTTTTGATGCTGAGGAATTTTTTTTTTGTTTTTGATAGACAGCAGCATAGCTGAGAGCATAAGCTCAGTGGGAGGATCGACTAGGTGAAAGGTAAGGGTTAAAATGTTGAGTTTTTTCCCAAAATTTTTCAATTAAATGGGAATACACTTTGATCTTTTTGGAATCATCTAAAGAAACTAATCATAGAGGGATAATGATGAAGAGGAGTAGCCCTTTTATGCAAAGAAACAAAATGTTTGACCTATCTGTGAAAACATGTAATTAATGTTAGTGAATTGATTCAAAGTTTTGCTGCTGAAAATTTGGACCTAACGATGGATTGGATCTGATTCAATTCCCACCCCCTCTTAGTGAATGCAGCATTCTCGAAATCGATTCTTTTCTTATGTATGCGTCGATAGTACTGATTTAGCTATTCCTGATTATACAGATACGCCAATAACTTCAAAAGGCAATTCACTGAGGAGGTAGGAGAGAATAGTGTTCTCCTCTTTGTTTCTCATAAATGCATATGGAAATTTTCCTTTAGAATCACCTCATCTTATACAATAATTGAAGAAAATGCCCTTCTAAATTAGTCATTTGGTTACAGGTGTGGAACCGATTTACGTGCATGTTCATAGAAACAATGAACCCACTCGTGAACTGTATCAAAATATTGGTTTCGAGGTAATTCCATTTTGTCTAGAATTTTACTCTCTCTGATTCATTCAGTTTTCGTATGGGGCTATATATATATATTGCATTGATCATCATCTGGTTGAAATGGAAAACTCAATATTATTAAAGTAGCAGATGTACTTGCTTTGTTACAAGACATGAAATTTCTGTTGAAACATAAATCCATGATTTTTTTTCTATTTTTGAATGAAAAGAAGAGAAACCCCTTACATACAACTTTGTAATCTTTTGAGGATTTGAATGATTTGAGGATGGGGAAATATTAGGATTTAGTCCCCGAAAAATGTAATCCCCTGCCATTACTGCTCAGGGGAGTTTATGTTTCCAAATAAAAAATTGCAAATGCCATTACTGTCAGAAGGTCATCTCCGTTTGCAAGGGTCGGCTTCAACGGCTTAGGGATGCAGTAAAGAATTGCAAAGGTCGAGCATCATCTTCAGCTGCATCTGAATTGGATGATGGTGTACTCCAGAGTCCACCATCTTAGGTGTTATTATTGTTTATTATAGTTGATAATGTTGAACTACATTATATTTTACGTTAATGTAAACTTTGATTTATTATTATGGATTTCAAGTTTGTTGTTATGAATGTCCAGTTTAATGGATAATGCTACAAGTTAAAAATTTTAAATTTGGATAACAAAAGAGTAGAAAATAACATCTGAAAAATTAGTTTTAATTTGCGACGTTTGTATAAAAAATTCACTAAATACATAATTAATATTGCCTTTTTGAAAAACGCCACTAAAGTTATAGATCTTTTATGGCATTTACATAAAAAATGTCACTATATACGTAGTTAATAGCGGCGTTTAACATTCACAAACGCCATTGTATGACATAACATTTAGCGGCGTTTTAGGACAAAACGCCACAAAGGAAAAGATAAATAGCGGCGTTTGGAGAAAACACCGCTACATATCATAACCTTTAGCGGCGTTTGTAAAAAAATGTCACTAAATATCATTACCTTTAGCGGCGCTTAAAAACACAACTATATGACTGAAGAAATGCTGCTCAAAACCTGTTTTGCTGTAGTGATGGTTCCTTATAACGGAAGGGAAAAAATTATAGAAGCAATTTTAACATCTTAAAAGATTAAAAATTAATAATTTTTCAATTATAACCTTACGATAATAATAATAATAAATTTAAATATACTAAAATAACATCAATATTCTTGATAAAATCATAATTACAAATGTTAATTGTTAATGATATTTCAACATAAAAATGTTCATTTCACATAAAATATTTTGTTTTGATATATAAAAAATATCATTCAAAATCATAATAAGATATTTGTGTTTTTCCTAATAATTTAGTTTGTCAAGTGGTGATTGAACGTTAATTGTCAAATAGTTGAGAGTACTTAGAATATGTACTACTATGAAATCACATTAACTTAATAAAAAAATAATTTACAATAATTATAAGATAATATCTATTTTTTAATTTATTGATACACACAAAAATTATAATACAAATATAATTACTCAAATTTGAATCTTGAAGAATAATATTTTTTATACATGTAGTAATATTTATCACTTGTTTATTATTATTAGGTTCACGATGTCTTATAATTGTAAAAATAATGAAGGAATAAAATATAGATGGGCAAAACTGACATTTTAAAAAAGTCAAAATAGTTAAGAAGTTTTTTCTGAATTTCTTCGAAATTGATATAATAAAAGATAACGTAAAACTAAAAAAAAAAATCCCCTTTCACTTATTTTCCTTTCCTTCTCCTTCTCCCGCACGGAGCTGGTGATATAGATTTTGCTAAGCAATCTCGAGGCTACAAACATTCAACGAATCTTGTCTTTTTAGGTGTTTCCAGACTGGGAACATGATTGTCAGATCTCAACATTATTTCAGGCACAGAGCAGAAATGCACAAGTGGTCTTTGCCATGGAAATTTGGTAGAGAGCTCAGGAAGGAGCAAAATTTGATAATTATCCGTCAACTGGACCATTGACTAAATACATTCGACCGGTACAACTGCAGCAGATAAGATAATTCTACATCTGAAACTGGAACGGTCAATTTTGTATTTTCCAAAAGAATACATTTTAATGCCGATGATGGCAGCTAAGATTTTACTATAGTTTTTATCTTATTTTATGAATTTGTTAAATAGCTCGAGAAAAAGCATTTACGTGGGATGTGCCTATTGGATCTGCTCCCACAATAATATAAAAATGTTTAAAACAAAATGCATTAAACAAAAAATCGAAAGCGTCGAGAAAGGCGTGCTTTCGCAGTCCGCAGTAGGCAGAATGAGTGAGATGCGTGATTGTGCCTGCTGAGACAGAATAGGAGAGAGAGAGAAAGAGACTCAAATCTAATGGAGAGAGCCACGACGCCGTCCTACTCATTGCCCGATCCCCAAACAACAGACCGTGGCGTCGGTGGCAAGCTAAGGAGACAACCGCCGCGTCGACCACCGCCCACACCCTATGCCCGTCCTAAGCAGAACCAATCCTTTCGCGGCCGCTTTCTGTCCATACTGGTCGTTCGAGCTTACAGTGTCATAGCCAGAGGAGCTACTAGAATCTTTCCCTCTCTCTTCTCAACACCTTCCAACGATTTGCTCCTGCTGCCGGAACCCAAACTCATGGTTATTATTATTATTAATTTTTAAAATATTGAATAAAGGAGTCTCTTCGTTAAAACGTTTCTCTTCTTGGTGGTTTACGGGGTTTTTTAGTGATCGAATGTAGCTTTGTCGGTGACAAAACTAGTGATTACATTTTTTCTGTTTAATTGCTCATCAAATGTTTAGTTACTATGATAGTATGATTGCATGATGAATTTTGTTACTTTTTCTGTTGGAAACAGTGAACTTTAATTAAGATATAGAAGAACATCCTAATGGAGAACATCAAACTTCTTCAACTGTATGGCGTTTTCTTTACCAAATCGAGTATATGTGTTCATCACATAGTGCTTGCTCTATCTAAGTGATTTTTTTTTTATTTTTTTTTTTGGTTTTAAGTTAGCTTTTCCTAACGAGTTGGCATGATGAAATATATTTGGTTTGGAGTTTCCAAACAGTTGGTACTTGCGGGGCATCTGATAGATCAAAGGCTGGTTCTGAATTTGCTGAATAAGGAAGGAAACGGTATTAAGAGTGATATTAAGGACGAAGGACTTTCAGAAATTGAGAAGCTATTGGAGGGGAAAACATTTTCAAGGTGAGTTCTTTGTTGTTATTGCCTTATTGGTTAGTATACATTATCTCTGTTCATATATTGTAAACATGTTTGTTTCGGCCAATATTACTGGTATTAATATTTTCAAGAACATCATGATGGTCATATTCCCAGCTATTATAGATAAGCTTGGTCTTTTATGTTATTAAATTAATGATTTGTTCTGTCATCCCCGTCTGCACGCTTATTCATATCCATGTTTGTTTCTGTATTTCTAGGAGACCATTCACTTGGTGTTAACTCTTAAGAGTTGATTATCATCTAAAATGGCTTTTAACATCTATAATTCATAACCAGGGAAGAAATTAATTGTCTGATAGAGATTATAAATTCAAGGGCTGTTGATGTTTCTAAAGATGATCAAAAAAGAAAGGATTTAGTCCTGTCTGCTAGGGGTGCCAATGATCCTATAGTTACCTGCAACTTGAGAAGACTAACAGAAGAAAAACAGGATGATTCAAATAAAGCTGCATGGGATTTGGAAACCCCACTTCCTAAGCCAATTGTGGTGATAATATTAAAATGAACTTATATTTTGGAAAAATGGTATCTGCATGGAATACTGACGTGAAAAGTGTCTTCCATTCATAAAGAATTTGAACTTAAGAATATGTTGCCCCAGGTCTTTGTTTTCCTTGAAGTTTTTTTGCAACACATCCCAACTTAAAAGGCTTGTGTTTTCCAACTCCCTCACGTTAAGAGTAGTTAAGCTTGTAGAAACCTTGCATTTTCTTTTGAATTAAAATTTTGAAATCATACCATATATTAAAAATAAAGGTTTGTGATTGAAAAATAGTCTACCAAATGTTTTATTGGAAGCTTTTAACAAATTGAAAGGGGATATACATAAGGGCTGGGCTCATAACCATAAATTACAGTTACTACAGCTGTTGGCTGGTTGGGAAGAGGAAGTTCCTGAAGCTGCCAACCTAAAAGGGATATTTTCCCATGTATATAAGTTTGTTCATTCCCCCGGGAGCCTTTCCTTCTCTGTTATATCAGTTTATTATCTCGTCTTTGTGTCTGTCTGTTGGTCTTTCTCTGTAATACAAAAGTTGTGCATGTGCAGAGTTGCATCTTCTGGCATGCGCAACATATGTATAGTTAGGTACATTGAAATTTGATGTGCTTGTATCCTTTGTATCTCTTTTCGAGTTTATTTAAATTTTGTTCTATGAAACACTGCAGCCGAATGAAACTGGATGCTAACCAATTGAAATTGCAAAAGCGTACATGCAATCCGGACACCAGAAGTAAACCTAGGTTCTAAGAGAATTATATCAAAAGATGAAGGGCAAAAGGTGCTTAGTGATGACTTTGCATCAGAACCATTTGTTCCATTGCCTTCCCCTAAGTCATCCACATGCTGGCCAGGATCCACGGTAAAGGATCAGCGTGGTTATCTAACTTCGAACAGTCAAAGAGGAAGATTTGGGCTTCGCAATATTCCAAATTTCCAAGAACCCCTTACTCTAAAACTATTCATTCAAAATCTAAAATGAAGGTGCGGAAATTTAAAATTTTGCATTTATTCTTATGATTATATTTGATTGATTGGGTGAGAAATATTCTGCATCTTCCTTCTTGCGGGGAGAAATTTTGCATTTATTGCCAATTTGAAACTTTCTTTTTGATGACTTGGATTATTATTGTTACATCTATTTTGAACCGAGTCCTATGCTTATTGTTTGAACACATTTGAAGTTGAGGAGCAACATAACGGATCATGCCTGGATCTCTGGGTCCCATTCACAGGATTCGAGATGATGGCACCAGCGAAGCCCAATCCAGAGGATGTGTTTATTCTCGTTCATCATTGAAGGGTCCTTTTCCAGTGGGAAATTCCAATGTTTCCAAAAGTGCATTTTCTTCTATCAAGAATAATTTGGAACAAGGAGGCACCAGTAGCTCTTCAGTTTTTCAGTCAGTAGATAGTAACAGAAGCTCTGAGGTCAATATCCCACCTGTTTGTTCACAGTCCAGTAAAATGGCCAGGACAATATTTGAGCACCTTGAGCGAAACCTAGTCACACCTGAGGAGAAGTCTGAGGAGTTAAAGGTTGCTACTTCAAGCAAAATATCAAAATCTTCAGATGCTGATGCCAACAGTTTTTCATATTTAGGACTTGATTCTTCTAAAATCAAGGATTAAATTGGCAACAGAAGTTCTGCTCATGGGAATGAACATAGAGGGAACTCATTTTCTGTGGCTTCTCCAGAGAGTACCATTGAGACTAAGAATGTGAACAGAATATCTGCTTCAGATTTAGAAGTTGATAACACTGTTACAATGTTTGGCAATAATGGAGGGTCTTCAATAGCTTTGGAAAAGCTCTGGATTCTCAGATCAAGATTGTACACAAGGTATTCCATTCATTCGTATATTATATTCTATGACCATGTATGTTCTTATTAGGTCTTATTTATCATCTAGCAGCGTAATATTCTCATGCCTTGCTTCCTAGCAAGTTTAAGCTATAACTAGAAGCATTTAATGAGGTCTATATCTCTTAGGAAATTTAATATGTTTTCCTCTAATTTCTCTGACATGCTTTAGAAGATAATAAAACAGGTGCACTATGGTTGATATATCAACATTATTTCGATTGTTTTGTTGTCCCAATGTCCCAACATGGGAAGTGAAAGAGACATTAACGTTTTATCTCTACTTTTCTGCTTTCTTTCTAGGTTACATTGGTTACAAGATATACGATCATTTTACATTCTTTTATTATGCAATTTAAAATTTGGTTGGGGCCATGAATCTGATGAGCATAATACAGTCCAGGAGGATTATTCCTCACCTTGTGTCTTATTTGTCAACTTTGCCTAGGTCTATCAAGTACTTCAACTTTTGTTATATATGTTATTTATTCTATTTGTTTCTTTTCCCTCTTAAGAGTTCATATGTGTACATCAAAGAATGCCTTACTGATCGATTAATTGGACAGGATGACTCAAAGGTCACTGGTGCTCCTGAAAAGCTTTCTAGTCCTTTGGGAATAAACCAGTTTTGGCTTCTATTTCTGTCAGCAAGCCTGAGCGAAGGTGGATGTTTACTTCCGATAGTAGCACTGGTTTTACTTTCCCTGTTTCCGCATCTTCAGGTGCGTATTCTGAGCCTCCAACACCATCCATCATGCCATTACTACCAGGCAGCAGTCTTCATCAGCCCAAAAAGGAACATTCAGGACCTTCGTATAGCTTTGGCGGCTCAGGCAGATTGTCTCCTGCCCTTGTTTTTTTCTTTCCCTTCAACAAGCAATGTCCCTTACCATGTTGATGCTTCAGATATTACGTTCAACTTCGGATCTGATAGGTCTTCAAGGATATCTTTCAGTTCAATAGGAAAAGATACCATATGATTATTATGCTACTGACTGAGGAATGATATTATTTTCCATTTTGAGTGAGGTAGGAGTCCAAATTTTACCGGTGAGAACCTCAATTAGTCATGCATCATTCCCTTTATTACAGGAGAGAATGGTCTAAAGCTGAAATCAAGATTAACTTAATTTATACTAGCACTTAATACTCACTTCGTGGTCACAGCTAAGACCAAAAATCAAATCACCATCGGTTTCTACATGAGGTTGAAGCAGTGCTCTGACTGTTATTTTAGGGGAATTTGAAAGAAAAAGAACAAATAAACTGGAATAATTCTGAGTCCAGTTGAATTTAAAATAGAGAACCAACATGTTGAATGCCCGAAAAAGGTTTGCAACAAAAATTTTATAATTGGTTCTTTGTGAATCTGCGATTATCTCGCATTGTTGGATAGGGGATGCTTTGTTCCTTTATTTTTTGGGCTTTTTGGATCTTACTGGGTGGTGTTTAGATGAGGAAGAAATAAAGTAAAGATAAGGGTGGATTAAGTGGACGTGGGTCGATAGATGTTCACACATCGTAGAATCATGTTGTAGAGGTTAGAGGAGGAGGAAGGGATGACATATTGGGTGTTGGTCCCAATTTAAACAACAATGAATTTGTGCCTGTTGTCGGGTTACCCCACATTTTGCTGAAAGAAATATGCAAATTGCAAGTAAGCTGAGAGCATCCATCACCCGGATTTCGAACACCTAGAAAAGAGAGAGAGAAAGTGCAGTGAATCATCCCACCAAAGCTTCAAAACAAAGAGTCCAATGGTTGCGCTGTTTGTGTGGGGGAAAGATAGGCGAAGTTAGTAAGGGGCTTTGAAATGACAATGAGATGAAGACATTGAATTTGACATTTCAGATTCTTTGTTATGTCACAACTCTCCCCCTTTTCTTTTCTTTTTTAAGGATAAAAAAAACATTTGCCAGCTTGAAATTATACTACAATCCAATTTCAAATCCGGGGTCACTCACCGAGCATGTAATCCTCTACTCAGTTTAGTTGTCTGTATGTATTGTAGCAGCTGCTGCTTGTTTGTCGTCCTTTCCTAACAAATCTTAATCTACTTAACAGATTCATAAGCCTAGCTACCTCTTGATGAGTTTTGTGGCTTATGTTATGTCTAAGAGTCTCTTTTACTTCCACTAATCAAACAACTTGGATTCAGAGATTGGTGTTTATGCAATCAAAGGGAAAAGTGTGGGTGTTTTATGGACTGAAAGTAGGTGGTAATTACTTTGTTGTTGAGACTAGAGCAGTTGGACTGGGGATGGGGGTGACCACATTTCCACTTCACCAGTTGTTTTCAGAGATGCCCTAATTGCTGTCTCTCTGCATATATAATGCGTCTCCCCACGTCATGAATCAAATGCTACTGTTCATCATAAAAGTTAATTTAATGATTCTAATCTAAAAAGCAGCCTCAAAACATTTTTCAGTCAAACGGTTGAATACAAAAGAAAAATCAGGGGTTGGAAATACACACATATTTATAAACTTTAGTGCTTTTTTTCTTGGAGATTCTGTGCATGTTGAGATGGAGAAAAACAGTGGTCCAAATACCACTTTTCACAGAGGTGTGGCTCTATGCTTAGACAGACAGACTTTTCTTAGATATTTGCTTTCCAAATTAATAATATGAATGAACCCCCCCCCCCCCCAAATGGAGGTGTTGCTTCTTTTTTTTTTTGCATTCACTCTTGCAATAATTCAAAGGATTAAATGCTTTGCCAATGATACATGCAACTTATATTTCCCTCTCATTCTCCTCCATGATGAACTTTCCTTTATGTTATCAGGAAAATAAAATAATACATTTAAAACCTTCTAATTTATCTTCAAAGAGACACGTGTTATTAGCCCTTTTAAAGGCTCCTTGGAGCAATCTTGATATTGTATCTAGGAATGGAACAAGGAACTGAATATTGAGAGAGAATAAAATGTCTAATTTAACAATTAACATAACTTAACAAATATTTCAATTTAAAATAAAAACATAAATTAAATTTGACAAATACTCAAATTTTCTTTACATTTCAATTTGAAAACATTAAATTTTTAACCATATTCGTTTTCACGTTCTTTTATATACTATATTAATAATATATCCACAAAATTAAACTCAATCAACAATGTAATATTTTTCAGACAAAATGTTTGATCATCATTAAAGATGACTAATGAAACAACATATTGACTCTATGCAAGTCAATGGCACATCATATGATCATACTAAATTTCAAAAGTTCTTAAAATATGTCTAATGTCAAAGTCACTATTAATTTAGATGATTTCACTTTAGGACAATATATGATGAATTGATATCGTCTCTAGATAGTTGTTAAAAAATAAGTAATCTAATTACCAAAGATTGTGATTTTCACAAAAATTAAACAAGTCAATTCATACTCACTAGTTAATTAACTGAACAACGTAATTTATTTATTTTAATAATCTGATATGATTATAAAGTATTAACTGTTCATATACACATACCTTGCAGACACAGTTACTCGAACCTAGGATTTCAAGGAAAAGCAGCACTCTTTTAAACTACTGAAATCACTCAATGAGTTCAACGATTGAATTTATTAAATAGATATATAAATATGTTCATATGAGAGTGGATAATATGATCACAATGCTAGGCAAAGTATAGCTGATCAGTTGTAAGTAAACAACATATTACTCCATACAATAAAACTAAAGATATAAATCCATGTCCCTGAAAATAAAACACATTGCATCAACACTATTCTTCACTTCAAATTTCAAACCATAACATGAAAACACAGTAATCACTTATTGAGCAGTGCAGTCCTTGACGTATGATGCTTCTAATAGGCCTGTTATAAATCATTAATTAATAGAGTTCAGTATTGCTAATCTCAAATATTACTTGGTATATATATATATATATATGACTTTTAACAAGAACTGGATAAATTACTTACATCATCCAGCTTAGTTTTGATTGTTGGTTTCCAGCATCAGTCCAAAATGGATATGAGGGAAGAGCGCCCACTGTAATATAGGAATAAAAATAAGTGGGTGAATAACCAAAATTGCTGGGATTTTTGCAGGCTTGAAGTAAACTTACATTCTTAGCAGCAGTGCTGAATGCTTCCCTGTGACTTATATCGGGATTGTTGGCCTTGATCCTCTGGATCTCCTCTCTACATCATTCCATAATTAAGTGAAGCATGCAACGATTATACAAAATAATATGTCTAATGTGAATGAAATTCATTAGGATTTACGCACTTTATGAACTGGTTGTATGCAGAAGGTACTCGCTGCCTCTTCCCGGGAGCTGAAAAAAGAGAAAATATAATTTAGATACAAAGCATGAAGAATTTGAGATGGTGCAAAAAAGAAAAGGAGGGTGGAATTACGTCTGTTGACGATCCTTTCTTCAGAAACGACATTTTTAGCAGGAGATTGCATTGGAAACCTGTTGCTTTTGGATGAGGAACCCAAATGGCTCGTCCTATAATCCTGTGTTGCACAATTGGGTGCCTGTGAGGAGAAAACATCAATCAAGGAAGATAAGACATCTTCTCGTCGATGGATCCTTTTAACCTTCTGGTAGCAAGCGGCGTTTGCTTTCCTCTTTAGAATATAAGAAATTAATGTACGAAATAAATGCAAAACCCACAAAGCTTTCCCTTCTATTTATGTGCACACTTCTTGAAAAGAAATCATTAAACCTAAGAACCCTAACTTACATGTCAATCAAATCAAAGTACCCGAAAGCAGACCTTACAAAGAAAATGAGAAAACGGCTCAAGAAAGTGAGAAAAATCTTTTAAAGGGATGACAAAATCATGACCTATAGAAAAGCAAATAAAATAGGGGTTTGATCATGTCGGCTGCGAGCTAGGGTTTGATCATAGGGAAGGTGTTCGAAAAAAAACTTTTAGTATATCTCTTTCGAATTACTACTACTCCGAGGAGCCCAAGATTTCAGAGGCTTTGAATTAGATCCTGAAATAGACATGTATTATATTTATTTATTTTCCGAAGAAGACCATATTATATCACCTGAACCTCTTGCCATGAAAGAGACTGAAATGCCGCTGCCATGTTTACGGACCAAAGATTTGTGCAGTGCCCGCATCGAACGGTCACAATATCAAACAGGCTGCTGCATGGAACGCTCACCTGCGCATTAACCCCATAATTTAGAAACTAGTATACTTGAGAAGACTTGAGTTATAAGTAGTAAGAAACAAAGGAAAGAGAATCCCTGATCATCTAAGATTCTGAGAAACTGAGTTTTTCCCCCCGATGTTTTAGCTAGGTCAGTAGTGTATTGGTCAATGATTTTTTTTCATGGGTTTTCTCAGCTGATTTAAACTGTAGTTTGCTTAATGTGTTTGAGGAGGTTGTTTTCTGGGAAATGATCAAAGGTACAAAGAATCTTCATATTTTTCCTTTCCCTATTAGCTAAAGAAACTGAGTTAGCCAAAGAAGAAGGTTGTAACAATATTTTAAGCAAGGGAAAGCTATTCAACAACTGCAGTGAAGGAAGGGAGTTGAGGTGTTGTCCTCATCAAATTATCAACAAAATGCCTGTGTTTGAACTTTGGACGTTGAGAATTATTTTACTCTTTTATTTACAAAAATAACATAATCATAAAAAAATATTAATAAAATCTAGCCAAGGCTAAGCCCTTCCCTCTCCACCCCTCTTTGCATTTTATGTCTTTTCTTTGACTGCAAAATAAGAAGAAAAAGAAGGGACTGACGATGGAGACTTAACTGGTAAGTGGGAAGAAAAGAAGAAGAACCCCAGAAAACAAAATCAATAGATCTCAGTAAAAAGAAGTCGAGAGCACTGATAGCAGATGCAAAGACCAGCTTTATTTCAGAACATAAAATTGTTTCTTTGTATGATATATACATGGAGAACAAAGTAGCAAAACCAAAATATACAAAAATAAAAGGGGAGATCCTGCATTTAAAAAAGGAAGAAGAGATATATGAGATGAAATACCCCAAGAACTATGTTGCAAAAGTTGCAAGGGATGTAGCAGAGTTGCTCAGGCTCAACATTGATGCAAGTCGACATGTCTTCCAAGTTAGAGAACAATTAAAGGATTTAAACAAAGCTAAGAGCAACCGCCAAGTAGAAAGCTGAAATCAACAAATAAAAACCAATAAAAAGAAAAAGGTAAAGTAAAGAGAACCAATGGTGCTTCCCTGCACTCCTTGCTTTAGAACTGGGCTATGTATCACAACAGTAATGTTCTTTATATAATAGATATTCTTATTCGGTGAGAGAATCAGAAATCCATAACGAAAGAGAGAGATAGGACGTAATCCAAACTAGATAGAGAAGCCAAGCCAATATGAAAATTAAAGGCTCCTTTTTTATTTATCAACCTATTCGCCTAACCGTCTTAATACATTAATCACGTTAAATCGGACACGATTACAAGAATGAATTCCAAATCTTAATTAAAATAATGATGTATATTTTTAAAGATTTTAAGCCAAAATCTTATTTAAATTTAAACAATTTGTATTAATTGATGTTAAGATGGTTCGATTACAAAGTAATATTTGTTCTAAATATTATCAATCATTTGATAATAAAATAACTCAAATATCCTTGCAGTCTATAGTGCTAGAACCTAGAACATTTAGTGATAACAATATATATTTTAATCATTGAGGTAACTTGATTCGTGTTAAAGTGAGTTTTTGATCAAGAGTGACAAAAATACAAATTAATTAGACTGACAAATCTTATTTTATCATTCAAACTTTATTTTTTTAGATCGAGTCTAAAATATTTGAATCAAATTAAATATTTTATTTGAATTAAATTTTAATATTTTACTCGCAAACGGATTAAATTTCAAGTTAAAGCACATAACTTAAAAGAATATATATTTAAAATCTTCTTTCGAAGAAAACATTAAAAAAATTAATATGATAAATTAAGTTTAGTAATTTACTTATTTAGTGTTTAAACATAACAAAATTTCAATTAAAATCAAAAATTAATTATCATATTTTGCTCACCTTAAATATCTTAATTAATGAGAATTAAAATGACAGTCCAATTCCTTTATATCAGTCGGGTAAATAGAAAAGACGTTAGGGTTTGAAGAAAAGAAAAGGAAAGTGTAGAAGTATTACCAACCTTGGCTCCACCTGGCTATTATGAGGAAAATGAGTAACCTACACCTCCGAGCCAAGCGTCTGTTGAAATTGAATAGAGTTAGTTATGTTGAGTTGTTTTAATCTTTAATTTCAATTAAATTTGAATTTTTTAAGTTAAATATAATGAAAAATAATTGAATTAAGTTGAACAAATTTATTTGAAAGAAATTTAAAAAATAAAAAATTATGAACGAATCCGAGCCAAGCGTCTGTTGCTTTGTTGGGGAGTGTGGATGGCAAAGAGTGGTGTTGCTAGTCTCATGTTAGAAGAGTTATGGAGATTGGAAGAATCGACATAGTCTACACCGAAGATAATATGATGAATGATGGAGTAGATCGGGATAGATAAATTCAAGAGTTGGGGCTTGATTTTTGGAAGATCTTCTGAGAAATCTAATTCGAAGAAGTAAAGGGGACGACAATAGGAAGCAATTTGGATTGGTAATCTCAAACTCATTTATGTTGATAGAAATTCATATAGGTTGGCTAATTGGTTGGTTATTGAAGCTATGCAGAAGTCAGAAGTTTGGTGGTAGTGGTTAAGCAAATTGCTTTGGCTCTCGACCTGGTTGTTAATATGTTATTTTCTCTTCATTAGTATGCTGGCTTTGTTTTTGTTAGGTGGGTTAGTTATTACGAGTGTTTTTAGAGAGTTTTTGAGTTTCATTCCTGCTTGTTTGTCATTTTTGGGTCTGGAATGGTACCGAGGGTGTTGCTGTTGTTTGAAAGAAGTTTGGATTCAGTTGGTATGTCTGGAAATTTGGTCTTGTTGTATGGTTCACTTTTGTTTATCCTCTCGTATATACTCTTTTCCTCCATTTAGGATAAGGGAGGTTTTTAACGAGACATACGATTGGATCGATTTCTATTAATAAAATTGCTTAGCAAAAAAAAAATTGATAAGCTTGATTTGATGAAGCCTCAAAATTATTATTAAGAAACTTTAATAATTTATATATATTTTTTGTTTTAATTACATACTTTTCAATTTTTTTACACTGGTTAATTAAATAATTAAACCATGTTACTTTTATTATTTTTTTAATAGTCTGAAGTGATTATAAGATAATATATTTTTATAATATTTTTTAATCATTGATAATACATTCACCGTACAAACGTAACTACTTGAACCTAAAACTTTTAGAAAAAATAATACCCCTAACCACTAAAACTACTTAATAGGTTGAACCATGTTATTAAAATACACTACATTAACTGATTAACTAAACATTTCTTACATGCATGTGTCTCACACGTCAGGCAAAGTCTACGCATATTCTTATTTCAGTAAGTTAAAAAAAAATTAAGTCTTTCTTGAATGTTTTTAAAAGAATCAACATTTATTTGAACATTTAAACAAACAAATAGATTATACGAGCAGTTTAGATATGTTGGGTTTGAAAATAGGGAACAAAAAACTTTGGCGTCCTTCAATGCAGCAAGGCACACAAAACAGCAGCATCTTGAACAATGTGTTCTTTTATTGACTTTTAAAGTCTCTAACTTTAACCAAGCTGGCTGGTGCTACAGCATGTAATTCGTACTTCCTTTAAAATTGCAGGATCTAATGTCACTAATATGTTACCCATATATCAATTTCCTCTTTAAGAAAGGAAATCTATGCCATTTAATGGCAAGGACTGTGCAGCTCTCTGCCTACTTTGCTGGCCGTGGGTAGCACTCTCTCCATTCTACTTCACAGGCCTGCAAAGAAAACAAGTTTTCGTCTTTTTATGTTCTTTTTTACCAACTTATTATCTGTGCATATAGTTTAAGTGTCTGACTTCTTTAATAAATAATTCTTCATTCTCTCTAAGTTGATACTAAATTCTTTATTTTAAGGCCAAATTACATTAATAATCTGTCCTTCAAATTATGTGGAGGAGGTTATTAGTTTTTTGCATTTTTACGAGTCTGTCTTAAGCAAAGAGTGGTCTGGAAGGTTACCGATAAAGTATTAATTCAATGTCTTGATGAATCCTTTCTTCATTCTTACCTGTGAATTGCTTGCTCTCCATATGCTTTTTTATATATTAGATCATCAACATCTAGCGTGATTCAATCAGTCTGAGAAGGAGATTCACATACGAATTGATCACATTTGATCATCCATGTTTCCAAAATGAAGAAAATAGCTGATCCTTGTCCTTAAGTTATCAAGCATGTAGAGATGAAATGCAACAGAGTTAACGGTCCCTCAAAGATGGTGACAAGTCAATAACATAGCTTATATTTTAGTTGCCGATCATCTCTCTCAAACATGGAAGTGATTGATACTTGATTACGATGCGGATGTAATGAGGCTTTGGAAGTCTTATAAGTGGATCAATAATGAATATCAGCTTCATTTACCCTACCCCAAGAGTTAGAGACGTTAGGAATATTTTGTACAATTTGCATGTCATCAGCTCTACAATTCATACACGCTGTATTGGAATTGGAATTACAGGCAGATATCGTTAAAAATGTCCAAAATCTAAAATTTGTATTTTTCTCACCTCGCGACACTTGAAGGGAGATATCATATATGGCTGTGAATAAGAAACGAAATAATGTCTCCCAAGCCATACCCTACTAAACAAAGAGATATGGGTATGGCTGTGAAATATTAAAAAAATAGTATCATTTTTCATGATCAACGTTGTTAAAGAAAACATTAACGTTGTTAAATAAGACAATGAAATGAAATATATTTTTTCACTTGTACGTCAGTACTAAACTGTCCTATCATATGACTGTTTATGATTTAATAATAAAATTTGTAATTGAATCTAAAATTATATCTTGAAATATAAATATTTTTATAAATTAATAATAATTTAAGCTGAATTAAACTTATTTGAATCTTAAAAATAACTGTTTGAACCCGAGTACTAATAGGATCGAAGGTATAATATTTGGGCAAATGTCTAATATAGCTTAAAAGTAGGAATCAATGAGGTCCAGTAGAAGGCTAGAGAGTTTTTGAGAATGTCAGCCCATGTATGTTATGCGACTTCGTCAAAGTGTTAACCCAATACTTTATAATTAACAATTAGCGACTCATTCATTCATCCGGCCGACCAGAAAATTTTAAAAAATCGAACATGGTTACCTTTTTAATTAAAATTAATACAACAAAATTGTTATACATTATTTAGATTAGGTATATAGTATTGGCATTGTTCTTATACATGTTAAACATTATTAAAATGGTTTTCAAGTTTGGTAACCAACTTTAAAAAAATGATTTTCAAAGTTTGATAAATGTTTCTTTGAAAATGGTTTTCAAAGTTTGGTAAATGTTTCTTTGAAAATGGTCTTCAAAGTTTGGTAAATGTTTCTTTGAAAAATAGTTTTTCAAAGTTTGGTAGATGTTTGTTGAAAATGATAATGGGATAATCACAATTAATCCCTAGGCTTTAGGGTATTTACAAGATTAAGTCCTTAAGTTTCAACTATAAATACCCTAGCTCATTTAGCTTCAAAACCATCCCAAAAATCATTTCTTTCTCCCAATAATAGAGAGTTTTCTTGTGAGTAGTGAGTGTTTTGTAAACACCTGTAAATTTTCTCTCTTAGTAAAAGATCTGCAGCAGTCCGGAGACGTAAGCACAATTGGCTGAACTCCGTTATCAATTTCGGGTATTATTTTCCGCTTTTATTTTGCATTCTCACTAATCTGGTTATAGGGAAATTACTCGTGCTTGGTTTATTTCCTAACAACTGGCATCAGAGCTTTTGGTTGTGAATTCTGTCAATTTTTTCGAGGTTACTATTTAGGTTACTATTCATGTGAATAGTGAATTTCGTGAATAGTGAAATTCGATCGGCGATACGAGTTTGTCGACGGAGGTATTCTAATACACGGCGATTCGTAGAAATTGTCAGAAATTATCCAAACGAAGCCATATTCGAGTGGGAGCGATGGCTGCAGACGAAGGGAATGTGAAAATTGAAAAGTTCGATGGTGCGGACTTTGGATTTTGGAAGATGCAAATTGAAGATTTTCTATACCAGAAAAATCTATATCAACCCCTCTTAGGAAAACAACCAGAGGGCATGAAGAATGAAGACTGGGCTCTTCTCGACAGACAAGCCCTCGGAGTTATCCGACTGACGTTATCCCGCAATGTTGCTTTCAACATAGCAAAGGAAAAGACCACAGCGAGTCTTATGACGGCTCTCTCCAGTATGTATGAGAAGCCATCAGCCTCAAACAAAGTTCATTTGATGAGGCGATTATTTAATTTGCGGATGACGGAAGGGGCATCGGTGGCACAACACCTAAATGAACTCAACACAATCACAACCCAGTTGAGTTCAGTGGAAATTGAGTTCGATGATGAAGTTCGAGCTTTAATTCTCTTATTATCTCTACCAGACAGTTGGAATGCTACTGTTACAGCAGTCAGCAGCTCGTCGGGAAACAGAAAATTGAAATTCGACGATGTTCGGGATCTGGTATTGAGTGAAGAAATTCGACAGAGAGAATCGGGTGAAGCATCAACCTCCTCAGCCTTGCACATGGAGCCTAGAGGAAGAACTTCAGAAAGATATTCAAATCGTGGCAGATCAAAATCCAGACGGGAAAAATCCAGAACGGGAAATAAAGATTTTACCTGTTATAATTGTGGCAAGAAAGGCCACTTCAAAAGAGATTGCCGAGCACCGAAGAAAAATATCGGCGTACAGGAATCTGCCAACATGACGGAGGAGACAGATGATGCTATGATTTTAAGCATCAACAGTCCGATTGAATCATGAATTTTGGATTCAGGGGCATCTTTCCACTCCACGCCATGCCAAGAAATCATGGAGAACTATGTCAGTGGTGATTTTGGGAAGGTTCATCTTACTGATGATGAAACCTTGAAGATCGTCGGAAAAGGAGACATCCGACTAAAGCTGCCAAACCAGACCACCTGGAAGCTGACAGGAGTGAGACATATTCCTGGTCTCAAAAGAAATTTGATTTCTGTAGGACAGCTTGATGGAGAAGGATACAGTACAACCTTTTCAGGCTGTGAATGGAAGATTACCAAAGGAGCACTCGTCATTGCTCGTGGTAAGAAGACTGGTACTCTCTATGTAACCTCAAATTTAGAGAATATAATTGCAGTAGCAGATGTTGATGGAAAATCAAACCTATGGCACGAAAGGCTTGGCCATATGAGCGAGAAAGGAATGAAGATACTTCTGTCAAAAGGGAAACTGTCGGATCTAAAGAATGTAGATGTCGGACTATGCGAGGATTGCATCTTTGGCAAACAAAAGAAAGTCAGTTTTGCAAAGATTGGCAAGACACCCAAGGCAGAAAGGTTAGAATTGGTTCATATTGATGTATGGGGACCATCCCCAGTTTCATCTCTTGCAGGCTCACTATATTATGTCACCTTCATCGATGATTCAACAAGGAAGGTGTGGGTTTATTTTCTGAAGAAAAAATCAGAAGTCTTTGATACCTTCAGAAAATGGAAGGCCATGGTAGAAAACGAGACTGGTATGAAAGTCAAGCGGTTGAGGTCTGACAATGGAGGAGAGTACATAAATAGGAGATTCATAGATTTTTGCGCAAACAATGGGATCAAGATGGAGACAACAGTTCCCATGACACCGCAGCAGAATGGCGTAGCAGAACGCATGAACAGAACTCTGAATGAACGTGCCAGAAGCATGAGGATACATGCCGGATTGCCCAAATTTCTATGGGTTGAAGCTATCAACACTGCAGCTTACTTGATCAACCGTGGGCCCTTAGTTCCTTTGGATGGCAGAATACCAGAGGAAGTTTGGAGCAAGAAAGAAATAAACCTTTCACACTTAAGAGTGTTTGGTTGTATTTCTTATGTACACATAGACTCTGCTAAAAGAAGTAAACTTGATGCTAAGTCAAACAAATGTTCCTTTGTTGGTTACGGCGGTGATGAGTTTGGTTACCGGTTTTGAGACTATGAAAATCGGAAGATCATTAGAAGCAGAGATGTCATTTTCAATGCAAATGTGATGTACAAAGACAAGTCAACTGTAGAATCAAGCAGCTCCAATACAAAAGCTGAAACAAAGGAATTTGCTGAGTTTGAGGAGATTTCTGGAAATGATGTTTAGATCAGTCCTGAAGCAGTTCAAGAAGAACTAGGCACACCGGAACTAAGACGCTCCTCCAGAATTCCTAAACCAACCCAACGGTATTCTCCTTCTTTGCACTACTTGTTGCTGACTGACAATGGTGAACCAGAGTGCTATGATGAAGCAATGCGAGTGGAGGATTCAGTCAAGTGGGAGTCTTCCATGAAAGATGAGATGGACTCGCTTTTGTCAAATCAGACGTGGGAATTAGCTGAATTACCACCAGGCAAGAAAGCGCTTCACAACAAGTGGATTTACAGGATCAAAGAAGAGCACGATGGGAGCAAACGCTACAAAGCGAGATTGGTTGTCAAAGGTTTTCAGCAAAAAGAAGGTATTGACTACAATGAAATTCTCTCCAGTCGTGAAACTGTCTACAATCAGACTGGTGTTGAAAATTGTAGCTGCAGAGAATTTACATCTTGAGCAGTTAGATGTAAAGACAGCTTTCCTTCATGGTGATTTGGAGGAAGAAATCTATATGAGGCAGCTAGAAGGCTTCATAGAGGCAGACAAGAAAAACCTGGTATGCAGGTTGAAGAAGAGCTTGTATGGTTTAAAACAAGCTCCTAGACAGTGGTACAAGAAGTTCGATAGTTTCATGAGTAGCAGTGGTTTTACCAGATGCCAAGCAGATCATTGTTGCTACATCAGAGGTTCGACATAGCTTCATTATTTATTGTTGTACGTTGATGGCATGCTCGTTGCAGGCTCAGACATGCAAGAGATTATAAACTTGAAGCAAAAATTGTCAAAGTAGTTTGCTATGAAGGATCTGGGCGCTGCAAAGCAGATTCTTGGGATGCGGATCAAGAGAGACACAAAGTCAGAGACTTTGATATTATCACAGGCTGAGTACATCAACAAAGTACTCTCCAGGTTCAACATGCAAGATGCTAAACCAGTAAGTACACCTTTAGGTGTTCATTTCAGACTCTCCAAAGAACAGTCACCAAAGACGGAGGAAGAACGTGCACACATGATGAAGGTGTCGTACGCCTTAACGATTGGAAGTCTGATGTATGCCATGGTTTGTACCAGACCAGATATTGCTCAAGCAGTGGGAGCTGTTAACAGGTACATGAATAATCCGGGCAAGGTACAATGGGAAGCAGTCAAATGATCTTCAGATATCTGCGGGTACCACAACAAAGCACTTTGTTTCAAAGGTGGAGATACGTACTGACAGGCTATGTAGATGCTGACTTAGCCGAAATGTTGACATCAGAAGGAGCACTACAGGGTATGTCTATACTCTAGGAGGAACCGCAGTGAGTTGGGTTTCTCAACTACAGAAGATAGTTGCTCTCTCCACAACTGAAGCAGAATACGTCGCTGTTACGGAAGCTAGCAATGAGATGGTTTGGCTCCAAAGTTTCTTGGAAGAGTTAGGCAAGAAACAAGAAAACAATGTCTTGTATTGCGACAGTCAAAGTGCTATACATCTAGCAAAGAATTCGTCTTTTCATTCCAGGACAAAGCACATACAATTGCGATATCATTTTATCCGGTCTCTTCTGGAAGATGAGATTTTGAAACTTGAAAAGATCAGTGGAGCTCAAAATCTGGCAGATATGTTGACAAAGACGGTGACTACAGACAAACTGAAGTTGTGTTCAACTTCAGTTGGTATGCTAGAGTAACAAGACTAGAAAAACTGTTGCATTGATCGAGGTGTGAAGACATATTAAAATCAGTCTTCAAGTGGGAGATTGTTGAAATTATTAAAATGGTTTTCAAGTTTGGTAACCAACTTTGAAAAAATGGTTTTCAAAATTTGGTAAATGTTTCTTTGAAAATGGTTTTCAAAGTTTGGTAAATGTTTCTTTAAAAATGGTTTTCAAAGTTTGGTAAATGTTTCTTTGAAAAATAGTTTTTCAAAGTTTGGTAGATGTTTGTTGAAAATGATAATGGGATAATCACAATTAATCCCTAGGCTTTAGGGTATTTACAAGATTAAGTCCTTAAGTTTCAACTATAAATACCCTAGCTCATTTAGCTTCAAAACCATCCCAAAAATCATTTCTTTCTCCCAATACTAGAGAGTTTTCTTGTGAGTAGTGAGTGTTTTGTAAACACCTGTAAATTTCTCTCTTAGTAAAGATCTGCAGCAGTCCGGAGACGTAAGCACAATTGGCTGAACTCCGTTATCAATTTCGGGTATTATTTTTTCACTTTTATTTTGCATTCTCACTAATCTGGTTATAGGGAAATTACTCGTGCTTGGTTTATTTCCTAACATGTTTATGATTTAATAATAAAATTTGTAATTGAATCTAAAATTATATCTTGAAATTTAAATATTTTTATAAATTAATAATAATTTAAGCTGAATTAAACTTATTTGAATCTTAAAAATAACTGTTTGAACCCGAGTACTAATAGGATCGAAGGTATAATATTTGGGCAAATGTCTAATATAGCTTAAAAGTAGGAATCAATGAGGTCCAGTAGAAGGCTAGAGAGTTTTTGAGAATGTCAGCCCATGTATGTTATGCGACTTCGTCAAAGTGTTAACCCAAGACTTTATAATTAACAATTAGCGACTCATTCATTCATCCGGCCGACCAGAAAATTTTAAAAAATCGAACATGGTTACCTTTTTAATTAAAATAAATACAACAAAATTGTTATACATTATTTAGATTAGGTATATAGTATTGGCATTGTTCTTATGCATGTTAAACATTTTATATCATATTTTCGTACTCGCACTAGATCTATAAGATTTCGGTAAAGTTAAAAATATGAAATAGTTTAAACAAACTCTTAACACCTAATTTAAGAACATTTTTATTACGTTGTTGGGATTATGTCGACTTTTATATTATTACAAAATGAACACGCTGGTCCATAAAAACCTAAAACAAGTAGGAACTGGAAAATGATTTTACAGTTGAAATAATAAACAAAAGCTGAATGAAAAGAAAGGATCCAGCGTTCAAAATTGTTCAACACCAGCTCATCGTTTACCGCGTTGAAAGTTCAAAGATTAAAATGACGGTGGCGATTGTCTAATGTGAATATGATGAATGATGATGATGATGATATGGTTTTACTGATTCAACAACTGCTCCCCACAAACACTGGCTATTAATTAATTGACCCAATGCTTCTTTTAACAACTTTCATGAAACTTGTAACTTAGTCTCCTCTATATACTCCAATCAGAGGGAACAAGGATAACGAACAACTCGTTAGAAAGAGAGAAAGACAAAGATCTAGGGGCGACTGTAAGAAAAGAACACAGGAAATATTCGGAGATGGCGATGAAATTTATCAGCACGGCAGCACTTGTTTCTGTTGTTTTGGCTTCAACCGTGTTGCAGAGCACATACGCTGCAACTTACACTGTGGGAGACAACACTGGTTGGACTGTCCCTACCGGTGGTAATACTGAATTCTATGATAACTGGGCTGACAATAAGAACTTCCTGGTTGGGGATATTCTTGGTGAGTTTCTCATCCCAAAATCCAACTCAGTTAAACTTCTCATAGATTTTTTTCCTTTTTCTTTTTTGTGACAAAGAATGTTCCAATTATTTGCAGTGTTTAACTTTGCTACCGGATCACATAATGTTGCGGAGGTGACAGAAGCTGTTTACGACAGCTGCAACGGTACCAACAATCCCATCTCTATTCATAATACCGGACCGGCAAGAATTACCCTTAACAGGATCGGTGAGTACCACTTCATTTGCAGTGTCCCCGGTCACTGTATCGCCGGACAAAAGCTCAGTGTCGATGTCAGAAATGGTCCCAGGACTGTTGCACCCACTCCCGGTTCAAGCCCATCGCACCCGAATACCTGGATCAGGCCCCAACGGTTCTCCTAGCTCAGCTTCATCCCTTGTTGCCGCCGTCTCTCTGGCCATCATGTCCATTGCCTTAGTTTTGCTATACTAATTATGTTCAACCCTTTTGCCTGTTTTCATTTTTATGTGATATATTGTATGTCATAAGTTCAGAGTTTAGACTTTGTACGCTATACACAGAGACACACGTTTGATTTGTTTGATTGTTGTAGTGATTGTGGAGCGATACTTTTGTATGTTTGAATAAAAACTTCGATTCATTTTCTTTCGAGAAAATCAGACCCTCGTTGCGAGTTAATTGAACAAATGGACATCGTTTGGAAGCCACCGCCAAAGCAACATAACCCCATCTTCATTGCATCATCTTTTTAAAATTTGTAAATCTAACCCTATAATCTCAATTACGTACTTACCTATAACTACTTTTTAGCTGTTGGTGTATGAGCTGGAGCTGGGTTGGTTTTAACCAATCCTTCACGTGTCAGTTAGGCTGTTGAGTGTTAGTTAAGGTGGTTATGAGCAGTTAAGCTGCTTCTTGAGTTGTTCTAGTCAATTGTATAAATACATCTCTCCATAATTGAGAGAGCAATCGTCATGAAATGAATGAAGTTTTCCTTCCTAGCTATTCTCTCTTTGATCTTGTCCACTTTACGTCGCTCATCGTTCCTTAGAACGATACTATAACATTAGCCACACTTCTCCAATTTTCAACAAACTTCGGCCTATGTGGTAACCACTTAAGAAGTTCCAACATCATCTTAACTTATGTTAACCGTCCAAGAACGCTATTAATCAGGTGTCATTAAATCAACAGCATGAACCAATTTACTGAATGCTTCGATTTCAAGTTTTTCTTCTTTGACTTCATTATGGCATGGGCCAGCGAACTTGGCATTTTCCATAGTGTTGTGTACCTAGGGTGGGTGGACAGAAACGATCGTCTCTTAAAAATTTATAAATTCGTCCCTCAGCATAAATCTTGTGTCTGTGCTTATGTATCATAGCGACAAATATATGCTTTTACATTTACATCGTGATTAGCTGTTTATGATATAGACTTAAAGGTCTGGTTCGAAAATACATATTTTTCAACTAGTCAGAATGATTTATTTTCTTCTTCAAAATATACATTATTCATGTGATTTAGATTTAATTCGGTTATTTTTTTTTAGATTTTTAGATTGTTTATTTTATTATAGTTTGGTTTGGTTTATTTTTATTTGGAATTAAAAATTTTATAAAATAATTTTATTTTATGATTTTTGACATTATTTTATAAATATTTTAATTAATATTTCCAAAAGAAATGACACATACTTTGTATTTTGTATTAATTGTCTCGATTAATAGAATTTCTTGCATGCCTCACCAACCCAACCTAACTCCATCCCAAAGGTCAGCATTACTAAAGCTTGGCGGCATGCTAGATATCCACTCTTCTGTTAATTCTATAATCTAACAATATCGTTTTATTATTATTTAAAAAAAAAAACTGTTTTCAATTCGATGGTACTTTATAACTTATGGAGGACTACATTTTGGTATTATACTTGCTCGAATATTAAAATAGAAGAAAACAGAGACGAGCAGAGGAAATGACAGAGAGACCAAATGGAAGAAAAGATTTCAGCAACCGTAGTGCAGTCAAAGTTATAAATAAAAGCATGAAATGGGTCCACAAATTTGCCATCTACATACTAATTGCATATGTTAACAACAGCTTTTGATAGTATTCATAACATGATAATGAAGTTGGTTCGGGAAACCTCACCTAAGGCCTGTATTTCAGCCTTTAACATTTGTACTTAATTTGTAAACATCTCAAAATACAATATATTTTTTATTGTTGGTTTAGACTGCATAATCGAAGGATTTCTCCACAGTTTTTCAATTTTCATATTGATTTACATGTATACTTTATATCAGAATTTCTGCTTTTTGAATAATAAAATACAAATTAAACTGGTCTTTAAAATTGTTGGCGTCGCGTGATTAACTTTTATAGTAAATATCAACAAATTGGAGGATAATATCTTTTTCCTTTATAATTGAAATAGAGATACTAAAGATTGAATCTAACCTTCATACTATAAAAATTCTGTAATTGCGAACTTATAATGCTGAAGCAAGCTATAGTTTTATGACGCTATTTGCAAAACAGGGGAATGCAGGTCATGATACTCGAATTAAGACACTGTCAATCGTATAAAACAGGCAGTAAATGACATGTGGTTGAGAATTTGAACATATGAAACCGATCAAAGTGAAGAAAATTCAAGCACTGGAACGTATTAAACTTGTACTTTTCCTCCATATTTCTCATACACTTTCCGTCTTCTAATGACTTGCGTCCTGTATATATACACGTTAAGATATGCACCATATAGTTATCAAATTATCCATTTAACTTTTCTTTCTAAATCGACATCAAGGGACGCAAAATGAGAAGGGTATTATCCCTAGGACGACCTGAGCAACACCCGAAAAATGGCTGGCCACTGCTTCGGTTTGAGGTTGATTGGGTTATTAATAGTGGCGATGGCATTTTTGGAGGGTGCAATTGCAACTGATTACGTAGTGGGAGACGATATGGGTGGGATATTCCCCCTAATACTCCAGTGACTACTGTCCTAGCTGGCAAACAGATACGATTTCAAGGTCGGAGATTCAGCAGCTAAACATAAGTAAAATAACCAGTATTAAAGCCTCATTACTTACTTGATTGTTTTCATAAATCTAACCCTTTCTTTTTAAATCCTTTTCAGTGTTCAACTGGACCGGGAATCATACTGCAGCTCAAGTAAGACACCAGGCCGATTTCGATAACTGCAATCAAAACGCTGCTGACATAAGTCTGATTGCAGAATCTGGAGTAAGGTACCTTTAACCTCGGGGGATTCCATTACTTCATCTGCACTGTTGACACACACTGTGAGCAAGGTCAGAAAGTTGCTTTCAACGTTACAGCTGCTTCTGAATCTTCTGCTCATTTGGAACGTGTTACCTTGTTTTCCTTACCTTTGGTTCTCTCAGCCTTGGCCACCTTTATATTGATTCATTGATTTATTCGAGCAATCCATTGCTGAAACGTACTGTTTATGTATGTAGAGCGAGGAGACTACCTATTAAAGCTGTTATAGCTAGCTACTTTGCCTTCATATGTTTCAATATATATGTTCATGTTTGACGACATTTTATAATTTTTTTTGACAACTTCTAAATCTCATCCTAAACATACTTAGAGGGAGGGGAAGAGAGACTCTAAAGGGACTTTTTATACTCGGATATCTCTCATTTTGTATTTCAAACTACATTTATGATCTTACTCGATTCAACGAGATTAAACTATACTTAAACTATTAGACGGACAGAGAAACACCTATACTTCACACCAGAAAAATCAAGCTTTTAAACACACAAAAAAAAGGCTCAGAAGATTCATTATTAGTGTTTTTGTAGTTATCATAGAACTGACAGCTGTTTCAGATTACAAAAGAGTTACATTACTAGTATATATCACATACAATCCTTCATATTCATGCAAAAAGTAATGGCCGCCAGGATTCTTCTACGATTGAAACATGAATAAAGCACTCTAATCTCTGCATCTAATTAATTTTAGGCATTTCAAGGAACGAGTGAAGATCCTGAAATAACCAAGTTTGATTCCTTTAGTTTCTGTCAGTTCTAACAACAGGGAAATATCTCCGAGAAGTAAGTCTAGGGAAAGAAGAAAAAAGTACCTCCATGGGACATCTTCTGCAAGCTTCCAGTCTCCTTCTTTGTCCTGATATGAGAGTTTGAAGCTCTCTCGATACTCAGCAGCTGTTCGTAAAAAAGGATGGAAAATACAGTTGATTCAGGTTTTGTTATAATCCAACATAACATAATTGAAATTATGTTAGGCGTTTTACTTACGTATGCCAAACATTCTCGTCACAGCGCTAGTAAAGCCTCAAAGGAGCGGTGGACGCTAATGTCAATCTTCCTGGCAATTGCAACTCCTTCCATCTTTACCTTCATGTACGTTGATTTTGAAGCCCTACCACCTCTTCCATTAGCTATCGCTGCCGCCACCACCGCGCGGTTGTTATCAACTACGCCATCGGAGATTTGGTGGCCTTGCATCTTCGTCGAGGTTTTCACTGGCGGCCACCCCACTAAACCCTCTCCACCATTCCTAAACAAAAAATCATCAAATCCAGCAAAAAAAAAAAAACAACTGAAATCTTTGCTTTTTTTGCTCCGGAAGCATGCAGATAGAAAAAAGGAAAGACGACTGACAACAGATTTTGCAGGGTAAACTCAAACTGCAAAGAAGGCACGAGACAACTTAAAGGAGCAAAAAGAAAAATGAGAAAGTGAAGTACTTGAAAATGAAGAAGAATTGTCGTCGAGTTCTTTAGTGTCGTCTTCATCATTTGGTGGATTACTCCAATGCAAAAGAGGCAGCGTTTTGGGAACAAATCTCCTCCCATCAAAAAGTAATGCTGCTTCGTCAAAGCAGCTGTTTTTTCTGCTGCCGCCGCCGTCGCTAGAACTACTGCTGCCGCTGTTTTGCTGTTAAAATGTCAGATGGACCGAGTGTTAGCAAAGGCCAATTACTTAAAGCGTTGGAACCCAAAGCCTCCCTGTGCTCGCAACCGTGTCTATTTCCACATTTCCATGGGAATAAGAGGAGTTAGAAGAGCAAGTCGCAGTTGCAGCTCCATGCACGTCAATAACAATTCGAACCCACAAGAGATTACAATTTTAAAAGAAGCAAAGTGCAATCGCTACGGCAGAAAGAAGAGGAAAAAGAAAATCGGTTTCTTTGGTAGCAAAGTTTGTAGAATTTAATGGCAAAATTTTCGAGATAATGTTCTCGAATTTTTTATTTAACGATATAACGTACTCCCAAGATTTTGTTCAAATAGGACGAATTGCACAGTGTTGGCCGTAGGTCGCCATGCCTTCCGGGCGACCTACAGCGTGGCAGCTTCCCCAGCATAGGTCGCCATGCACTCCGGGCGACCTTGTAGGTCGCCATGCACTCCTCCTCTCCTCGCGTGATTCCTCTTGCCCTCGGATGCCCTCGCATAGCTCGCTCGA